TGGCTTACCGTATTGAAGGTTGTAATCGCTGAAGGGAAATCAGTTCCAACTGTTTAAAGTGAAAGCAATCATCGTTTACTGACCAGATAGATTGAAAGAAAACCTCGGCGTTCACAGTCTTGAGACCCATGATACTTGAGACTATTTCAACTGAAAATTGCGCGCTTATGGCTTCCACAGAAAGAAATGACCTCAAAGTCGAATAAATAGAAACACTTGATCGATTAAAATCACTCTTGAACAGAATTATACTTTGAGTGGTTGAAGAATGTTGTATACTGCATGAATTTGTTTTAAAGAAAAGGCGCCTTAATTCGAAACTGCTTGCAGAACAACGTATTTAATCGACTAGTCCAAACGAGAGGTCAGTAAGGTTACCAAGTACCAATCAAATTCAGAGAATCCAGGTAAAATTCTCAGTAGGCATGGCAACTGTCAAAGGTTTATATATCACATTAAATGTCAACATACATGCTTTATTAATCAAACAAGCAAAAATAGCTCCCAGCAAAGTCTATTAATATCCCCGTAATTTGATGTCCCAGTTAGGTATACAAATTGAAAATTCCCAGCCAGCACTGAACTATCTGGTCCAGCAGTGCACTTTAAGTCTAAAATCTCCCAGCCAGGAACATAAAAATTCAATTTGCCAGCCAGACAAAAAATAGGATGTAGAGCGGTTATTTTGTGGAGCGGTGTCGTTGGGTACTCTTGAAAACTTCAACCTAGCGCCACATCCAAACCTTGTGCCACGCTACTCATACACACTGCCCTGCGCATGCGCGACTACTACTGCAAATTTATAAAAATCATATCATATAATTTGAAAAGTTTGCGTGATTGGCCTCCCAATCTAACAACACAAACCACACAGGCTAAGACATGCCTTGATCAGATATGTTGCTTGTCAAGCATGGCTTTCTGTTTTCTTATAAGCAAATTAAACACTTTGCCTCTCAATATTTACTGGAGTTAAAATTAGTTACCAGTATTTTGTATTTTTTATTCACACTCTAGCAACTACCAGAGTATCTGAAAATGAATAAAATGCATCTAATGGTATATGATTTCTATTTCTAGGTTTTGCCATCAAATGCAAGAGTTGGAGTCAACCCTTTTTACATATCATACAGTAATTACTTTTTGACGATTTATTCTAAACTGTGTTGATTTATGATTTTTCATTGTTTAACATATTTTGTGTTCTATTTCTAAATCATATTCTATATCTTTCTTACCAGGGTGTTGGAACAGTTTAGAGAAGGTAATTCTGAATATAGCTCCAATCCCAATGTATTGTTTGAAGGTTACTCAATTAGACTACATGATCTGCTTATGTTGTAGACTGTATATAACCCTTAAGGAAACAAGTTTATGTTGCATAATCTCCCTTTTATCCTTTATTTTCCCTGTTTTCTTTTATTTTGTTTTTTATTTTCATTATTATATTGATAATTGACCTAAACTTAGAAATTTTTTTAAGGAACTCACATCAGCTGGACATAAACTTGAACCAGTGAATACAGATCTGATTGACATTATTAGAAAGGAAAATGGGCTTGCCAACAGACCACCACCTCCCAAGAAAAGCATGTTTGTAATGGACTTAAAGTATTCAGGTTAATGAGAATTATTACTAGAAATTGGTGTTGTTATTGTCTTTTGGGACTGGGAATGTTTGTTTGGAAGGGGACAGGAAAGGTGAGGCTGGGGGCTAACCTTGAGCACCCTACTCCCACCAAAAATTCCTGAGAATTACCTAGTATATCTCTTTGTATTATTATTTTGACTTGTAAATTAGAAGGGGTTAGTGGATAGAAATACCATGGTCCCCCCAATCAAATTAACTGCTCCTCTGTTCCTGCGGGGGTCAGCAAGTCATCTTAGAAGTGGGTACACCTAGCAGAAAGTTTGCAAAGCATGAAGATATTAGGAAGATATTGGATTCAAGGGTTGATTAGGTCTCAAGGGAAAGCTAACCAGCTGGATCTGTCATTGTTTTTTAATGATAAGCTTTTTAACTTGAGGATTGCGAAGCAATCAAAGAGTTATTGGAGAGGGACGAATCTGTCACTCACAAATTCAGTCACTCGGTCAGTCAGTCACTCACTTTCCTGTAAACTTGAGCAGAATTATTAATTTATTCTGATTGTTTTATAGTAATAATTATTCACTCATTTTCCGTTACCGGTTTCCCTGTGCTATATTTCGTTGAATATATTTATTTTTTGGTAACTAAAGAAATCAAAGAAAAATGGACTTAACCGGGTCTTGAACCGGGCCCGTTGGTTTGGAAATCAAAGGCACTACTACTCGGTCACGCGTGCAAGTGTTTAACAATAGCGGCTAGAATTGTCTTTTTACTAGCAGGCGCTCGCCCCTGGTTGTCAAGAATCGAAGTTAAAATAAAAAGATTTTAACGAAAGAAGAACCTGTATTCAAAATCGTTTACGTAAAATTCTATTTGTAAAGTAATTATAATTTGATTCATTATATCACATTCCATATTCGTCTACACAATCAATCTTCGAGTTGTGTTGCCATTGAATTGAAATGTTGATGTTTTTATTTTATATATTGTACAAAGGCAAATCATGGCAGGACAAAGTAACAGATATCCGAGAACAGCTTCAAAGTAGATATGCTTATGCATTTGTAGTGTCAAAGCTTGATGAACTAGCATGTACGTATATACGTATTATTTATCTTTTTTTATTTATTAGCATTTTGCATGATTGTTTATTTTGCTAATTATGCTACTTTTTGCGCAATTTTTAAAATATTTTTAATTTTTAATAATTAATTTCTCAAGGGCTGTTCAACATTCGTGGAGATGACATCCCTTACAATCCTGTGGTGTATGGTTATGCTTTGGTTACCCTTGATGACATAAGGTAACAGCTTTCTTTTAAATGATAATGATGACATCCATTGTAAATGTTCTCTAAAAAAACTTGGAGCAAAATTTATGTCTTCTTTTGGGCTCCCCAAAATATGAGTCTTTGTTAGAAGGCGATGTTATCAAAACACGTAGAAGCTACATGTATTCCAAGCCTGTGTTGTGATCGTTTTTAGGCCTCTACAGAAATTGAAGGACTTTCAATTCACATATGCAATTTTTGGATGTTACCAATAATGCAAATTAGGTGAATGCAAATTATGGTGCTTAAAACAATGCCCTTCATGATCCATTTTAGCATTTTCATTGATGAAAATAAACTGACAGAAGAAGTCCAGGTTCATCTTGGACTAAACAGCCACAATGCCAAACATGCTAGACATGTCGATCATGTCAAGATATATCCATATGATGGCATTACTAGTGCAGTTGCTGATTTAGCCAAACTTAACAAGAGAATATGGGTAAGAATTCTAGTACAGTTGTTACTTCCCTTGTCACGGATATTGTTAGCAACCAGCTCCAAGGAGAATATTCCTAAAGATGCCATCAGTGTCAAATTATTGCTCACATTGTAAAAACAGTCCACATATATTTGAATTGCAACAATAACAGGGACGGATCCATCAATTTTCAATAGGGGGGCCGTCGACAAAAATGGCGGGATTTTCGCGGAATTTGCTTTTTTCCTTTGCTTCATCAATTCGAAAGTGCAAACGATGAATAAAAAAGTGACAGTCAAATGCGCAATTGTTTTGAGAGTTATTTCATTTTTCAATGTTTTGTTTTTTGTTGCGTTTTTTAATTTTTGTTCAGCAAAGGGGGGACGGCCCCTAAATCCACCCCTGCATAAGGGTTATTACGTTCCCGCATATCGAGGCATTATTATAGTCAACACAGCGGACTCGTCCCAGTAAAAGTGCATCAAAAGGGTCTAAGTTCTTTTGCGTCTTTTCTGCTGCTATTTCTCATCATTTTCCGGTGCACAGGGGAGGTCTGTACTGGCTGGCAGTTTTCACCTGCATTTTACGGGTATATTGAGCAGGGACATTGACCTGCCAGGCATTGTGCTCTCCCCACCGCTACAGAGAACCACTATCTTCATTTAAATCCACTACAGAGACTCCCAGAATGCTCTGTTCCTAGAAAATAAGAATGCACATAGCTTCCTTTAACGTCACATGGGCCATCTTCGGCGAAGCCCTAGCACCTTTTTTGGCCTTCCCAAAGTGCTCAGTCCTTGCTAAGTCTAGGGGAATATGAGACATGCCAATACCAAACTGTGTGCTTGATTATTTTTTATGTATTGCAGATGTCTACAGATGTTGCTGCTGCTCTAGGAAATCTTATCAGCGAGGTATCTTGTGATATACTGAGCTTGTTGGCATTTCGAAGAAAACTTTTTGATAGCTGAGCTTGCTTTAAAGGCTAGATTAACCCTTTTAGCGATCTCTTTTACGCTGTGTTAGCCTCAAAACCATGTAATAAATACTTTTATTCACTAACAGTCCGTGCAAATGTGTAAGAGATCTGTGACTATAGAAGACAATGGAATTAGTTTGAAATTTCACTAGTCTTATCGAAATTTCTGAATATTTTGCACACAATTGAGGCTGACACAGCTTAAAAAAGATCGCGAAACCCAACTATTGTCACTCACTGATTTGCTAGTTGAAAATCAAAACAAAAGAGATAGATAGAAAGACATATAAATAAACAGGATGTCACGAGACTTTGGCAGAGATTGCAGCCAAAATAATTTTGCGCGGATTTTCTCGCATTAAGAAATTTATCATCTTTGATTTTAAAACAATCAGTTAACACATTTCAACAAGAGATCATTTGTAAAACGAAAGAAACGAGAACAAAAGTTATTGGGTACACGTGGGCTTTACATTCATAAGTCATTAAAATTGTGCATCTTTTTTGTTTCTCTTTATAGGATAATTTGCTGATTGAAATGTCACCAGTTGCCCGTAGAAAAGTCTGTAAAAATCCAATTGAAGTCCAGGGCATGAGGAATTGTCATGTAAGAAAAACCGTGCTGTAGACCCTTCACTTCTCAAAAATATCCTCTTTTTCTGAATGTTCTTTTCCTAGGAAATTCATTTCTTTCTCACAGCCCACTTGCTTTTACTAACTGTAATCAAGTAGATTATTAAAGGTATCTTAATTAATAATAATAATCTTTTATTGCAGATACGGGATGCAGTTGCTCTGTGTGAATTTTGGGCTTGGCTAGATGAAGAGGTTCGTGACTAGCATTTACTAGAATTTATGTTATGATATAATATGCTTACTCTGTCACTTAAACAACACATAGGTAACTAATGGAGTCACAACAGTTCAGGCTGCAAACAAGCTTGATAAGTACTGCAGGTTTGTATTTTCTGCTGGTATTTAAACAATTCACAATGCGAAACTATTGTAGTGTTTGGTTAGACAAAGTAAGACGAGGATTTGCCTCTGAGGCTTTTTACTGTCATCTACTCCATGAAACATTGAATGCTGGATACCGTATCCTGCATAGTGCATTCCAAGTCCGCAATGCATTGTTACCATTAAACTCCGCCTTAGCTGTGTTACAAAATGACGCTTTTACGTCATGTACCGTATTCGCAATGCATTGTAGGATATATTTGGACAAAACATGCGTATTTCGTTTGTTTTTGTTTGTTTTTTTTTTAGAAAATGAGCCCATAATGCATTGCAAATTAAGTAGTAACGTTTAAAGGTCCAGTTTGCACCATAATGCTTTGCGCGCCTATGTTATTGTACTGATTTACACCAAAATACGTCTAGTATCCAAATATCACCATAAAATGAATTTCAGGTGGCTGAAAACTCTTATATTAGCGTTTAAAGCGCGTAGAAAACTGTGAGATGGTCAAAGATTCGAAACGCACAGTACAATTTATAGACTTTCGGTAAACTGAAAATGGCCGCCTCACGGCCCCAAAGCATAATGGTGCCCAATGGGCCTTTAAGCTCTTTAGAGAAGATTTCTCACAACAAACTTCCACAAAAAGACTCAATAGATTTTTTATAAATATTAGTGAACCAAAGAATTTAGGGTACTTAAGATGTTAATTATTTTATTAAATCTTTGAGTGTGCCACCTTAGTTAACTTCTGCCTGCAGGCGCGTAGCGTGGACTTTTTGGCTAGTACGCACATGACAGGGACCGCGACACTTATTTTGGATTGGGGGGCTAACGACCGCCAAAGGCGGGAGTATTAAGGGTGAAATTTTGAAATAATAACTCTTGGAAATGCGATTTACAGCATTTTGAGGCCATCGAGAGCATATAAAAGGCATCAAATCCCCGGGGGGGGGGGGGGGGGGAGGCTCTACAATTTAGATAAAAGACCGAGACAATTTTTTGTGTCTTGGACAGGGTAATATTTTCATAAGAAATACCGTCGAAATAGTCGTAGAAATACCGTTTCACTATACCAGGATTAACGTTTTATCAAAAACTTCTTACTGTCTTTGATGGATGTCAGTATAATTGCAGTTTTGATGGTTGCGGCGTAGATAGCTATTCTTTCTTTTTCCGATTTGTCTTGAACAGGGTATGGATTTTTACTTTTTAGTGTCTTAAACAGGGTCAGGGATTTAGACCGCTGGCGGCACGTACCTATCCAAAACGGGGTCGAGTACACCCCACGGGATCAAATCCCGAACATTTTAAGATTTCCTTGCCACTAGTACGCACGTTCGTGTACATGCGTAAAGGACGCTACGCGTCTGGCCTCTCCCTCAAAACATTGATTAGTTCTTACTAGCAGACTGATTGACAAAACAATACTCACGATTTGTTTGGTTTTCCAGTGAACAAGATGATTTTCTTGATAGTTGTTTCACTACTCAGTCATACATTGGTAATGGTAGTACGGGAAATACACTTTGGTAAGAATACGACAATGATTCTCATAAACCCGCGAATCAAAGTGTAATAGTCAAAGTGCAGTCCATATCGATACACTGAAAAAAGACAAAAAAAAACGTGCAAAATGATAGTGCACTAGTACACTAGTACGCTAAAAGTGCATTTCACGGATTAATGAGAAGCGACCTAACTAATGTTGAATTATTGAAAAACTCGCGCGTTATTTGACAACCCTGGGTGGGTTGTTGTGATCTGTGTACCACCGTCTGTCTCCTGTCCATAACCCGAGATTTCATGGCAGTCCTTAGCAAGGGGTCAGGACAAAAACATTTATAAGGAAGAAGATGAGAGTGGGCGGAATGTTCTCAGCTCTCTAAGGGAGACTTTGGCTAAATGATAAAAGAACTTGATAGGGGACATCTTGAGGACATACCAGAGGGCAATGAAAAGGGTTTGAAGCTACTCTCCAGTTTTTTTCTAAGGGCAATGATGTCATTGCGATTGATAACCTAATTATCTATAGAAGGAATGAGCTATACCTTTATCTTGTATTGTGTTTTTCTAGCCCAGAATCAGGTAAAATTATCTCTGCTAAAGGACTATATCTGAATGCATCCGGTAGGCATTACAGGTATGATAAATAATTTCATTAAGAAGTATTAACTCTAGAACTTCTCAATTACTTAAGTTATGTATTATTATCAGGGATGGCACAACTAATATCACTCGCGTGATGCATTATGGGACACCATCAGAATGGGAAAAGGTGAGATACTATGGAATTTGTTTAGTTGTTTAAAAAAGCTTGTCGTTATAATGTTTTATAGTTAACTTACTATCACCATTGCTAACTGCCGTCCTAGGAATGTTATACTCGTGTTTTGATGGGTCATATTGATTGTGCTGATACAGCATTCCCTAGAGGAACCACGGGTATGTTGAATTGCCTCTCTCTCCACTTCGAACGTCCATGTCATTTGCTTCTTCCAATCTCTAGCCTATGCCGCCAGACACTTTAAAGCACCAGTTTGCACCATTATTCTTTGCGCGCCTCTTTTATTGATTTTAGATAAAAAATACTTCTAGTTTACAAATATCACCATAAAAGGAATGTCCGATGGTTCAAAAAACTCTAATATTAGCGCTAAAAATAGCTAGAAAGTGAGATGGTCAAGATATGAGCGGATTCGAAACGCACAGTACAGTTCAGTATGGACTTTCGGTAAACTGAAAATGGCCGACGTCAGGAACTCGCGGCCCCCAAAGCATAATGGTGCACACTGGGTCTTTAAAAACACTACTTTATCATGGGTGAAAAATTAAAGTGATGTGTCACTTATATATCTTTATACGGTTGTGCATAAGATTCTGCATTGTGCATTTATGTTAGCGGTGAAGTTGAAATAGAAAAAAAATTGAGGAATATTGACTCGCGCGCGACAATGGTGCCAGTTAGTACTTGTCATGTCTTGAGAGATAAATGAAGCATTGCTTCTGAGAGCGCATAGCTAGTACTTCGATTAAATTATTTTATCGCAGAAAAAAAGAAGGACTAGCAAATTCATGGCTCTTTTTAAAAAACCAATAACAGATTTGCGAATTTCTCCTCAGTGGTTAAACGCAAAATAATCAAGACGAGGCGCCGTGCGTAAAGTTCAGTCAATTGTGAAAAATTCTTGTCTTTTCACGAATGACTGAGCTGTATGCACATCGCCTCGTCTTGAATCCTTTTTGTGTGACTACTCAGGCGAAATTCGCAGGTCGGCTATTTAATGTTTGACTGTTACAACTTTTAGGAATTCTTTTTGCAGGTGATTATTAATGCTATGCTTGCTCTGTTTACAGGCCATGCTTTGGATGCTATAGCGCGTCGTGCTTTATGGCGTGCTGGTCTAGAATGGATGGTTTTTACTGGTCATGGTGTGGGACATGTATTGATGGTTGTTGAAGGTTGGTTTGTATTAACTAGGGGTGCTTTGGAATGGGGTCTAGGGGTGCTGTGGGGAGGGGGGGGGAGGGGAGTGTAAGGTGGTGGTGGTGGGGGGGTTGTTACTAGGGTGATGTTATTCGACAGTCTCAACTCCCAAATCAGTCATTTTTCATCAATTAGCAAAACCCAGGATTACTTTCGGTCGTGCAATCTCCGTTCGACAATTGACAATTGACATTCGCCATTTTATCCGACAACCCTTTTTGAAATAGGTATATACAAGCTATTGTGACAAGATACAGAAGATTATATGTTAGTATTCAATGATTACTGAACGATGTTAATCAACTGAATTTGATTTTCACTTCACAGATCATTATGGTATATCCAATACGCCATTTCACCAGGAGTTGCCTTTGTCGGAGGGAATGTGCTTGACTATCGGTTGGTACTTCTTTTTTAGATTTGTTGATTAAAACACTTTTTAAAGGCTTCAAATTCTTCCAATATTGGAGACTTGTGAGAAAATCGCATTTCGTGTGTCTAATGCTGGTGAGCTTATTGTATTTATTTATTTATTTGTATTTATTTATTATTCTATTACATTTTAGAACCAGCCTACTACGAGGATGACAGTAATGGGATACGAAAATTTGGCATTCGACTTGAAAACCTGTTTGTTGTATGCCCTGTGGAACTCAAGGTATGATTGTCAAAATACAGTCTTTAGTCCTAATCAACCACACTGATGCCTTTTGTTAGACCGTATTTCGTATGACTGTGCAACGGGACGGATCAGAACACGGATACGGCACGGCACGGTCACGGAACCTCGCCTTCTAGGGATTCCAAATAAAAAGAAAGATTTAACAATACATCACGGCTTCGGCACGGTACGGTCACAGCGCGAAAGTACCGTGTTTTTTTTTTTGCACAGTCATACGAAATCCGCTCTATGTCACGATCGTTCATTTTCCTTTGCTACTCGTTAACGTTTGTAAAACAGGATCCCGAACTAATGTTTCGTTTGAATTTCAGAAAAACCACAAGGAACTTGGATATTTGCAGTTTGAAATCGTCTCATTCGTAAGTAGTTTACATTGGTGCAGAGACCGCGCATGGACTGCCGGGTTTATATTAATTTTGCCTATAATTATACATGTAAAGGTCACATGGCGATTTTTTTGCAATTTTAAAACCGGTACCCAGTCTCCTGGACACGAAAAGTGGCAATAAAGTCCTTTTGATCCTTGGCACCCCATAATTTCTTCATAATTAAGATGGCTGTCGTATTGGTTTTATTTATTTTTTGTGATGTTAATTTAATTTTTACTAGGTACCGTTCTCAAGAAACTTGATCAATACCTCCATGATGACTAAACCACAGGTACGAATTCCTCAAGGTCGATTTGAAAAACAGCGGACTAATATTCCTCTAAATTAAAAAGCTTTTTGTCGTTTATTTCTTGAAGAAACTCGTCAGTATATAACATTTACATGAATTTAGTCCACCATTTTTTTACCAGCATTTTTTAAATCGGTTATTGGTTTGTTTAGAGGGGCGAATTTAGGGGGGGAGGGAGGGCCATGAGGGGGGAAGGGGGGAAGGTCGCGGCCCACCCTTTTCTTAACAAAAATAAAAAACAAAAGGAAAAGGCAACAAGAAAACATCGAAAAATAAAATAAAACTCATAACAATTTGCACATGTTTTATTTATTTGCATTTTCGAGCTGAGGAAGCAAAGGTAAATTCCCGCGAAAATTTCCCGCCATTTTTGTCGACGGCCTCCCTTTTCATAATTGCTGAGTCCGCCCCTGTTTTGTAAACGTAAAACATCTCTTTATCTATCTATAAAAGATCAATTGGTACTAACTCAATTACCACTTATTTCCTTCCAGATAAAATGGTTAAATGCCTACCATTCTAAATGTCTTGAAGTTCTTTCTCCAATCTTAAAAGAACAAGGGAGGACAAGAGCACTAGACTGGTTAAAAAGAGAAGCTCAGCCATTAGATATGAATCCATGATAGACTAGCTACACCGCCATCTTGGAGCATTCGTAATTTTTAGAGTTGGGTCATTAAACCCGTGAAACAAAATCTGACTATTTTAATAGTCAAATAGACACAAAAGAATTAGAGTCATTTTCATCCGTCTGTGAAATAGAAATTGTAATATTAAATATTATTACCCTCTATTAGCTCCCAATGGTTTAACTTATGACATGGGAGAAACTAATCAGGAAAACACGGTTTTGATTTTGCCTTTTGGTAGCCTACTAAACCTAATAGTCACTATTAAACACTGACTAGCAGTAGATGTTTCACAGACTGATGAAAATGACTCTAAAACAATGCAATTAAAGGGCTACTTGGACGAAAATTGCGAAACATTAGAAAAGACTTGGGAATCAAATAGACCTATCCATATGGATGTAATAATCATGAAGCAACAGATTTCAAGAAAATCTTCATGCAAATCCTTAATAATTTGGGCAAAAAATGTTGGAGTAGATGACGTCATCTACTCAATCCTTTTGTTCTTCCATCTTTTGAATCAAACTTTCTCTGATGTGGGATAATTCCCAGACAAATATTTTCCCGCAATTGTTTTAAATAGATATAAATGAGTCATATATTTGTATTGCTTGAAGTTTTGAAATGAGGCCATTTTCATGCAAGTAGCACTTTAAAGCGTACTAAGGATTATAAGTGTAATTTCCCGGGCTCAGTTTTGACGTCACTCTGTCATTTGTCCAGTTTCATCGTCAAAATCGTGTCAAATCGTAATTTTCTACTGTTTAATCCCTTAAGGAAACTAGAAACAAGGCAAAATGTGTTGGGGATGATTACTAGGACAGTCATATGGACAATAGACCTTAGTAAACTCATATGTCAAGGAGCATTCATTGCGCTGTTCACAAAAAGCAAATTCTAGTCAAGATGCTGTCTGTTTTGGGAAACTGAAAAGGTAACTTTTCATAAATGAAAAATATAAAATATAACAATACGAATTTTTTTTTTGGATAGAATAGAGAGAAATAGACAGAAATTTGATTTTGCTCTTTTTTTTTGAGAAATATTGTTATTGTGGTTTAAGGCGGATGTGCGAGTGAAAGACATTGTAGTATTTTAAGGCAGTGTCCGCTCGATTACATTTATGTCTGAACTACCTTGTTTTCTAGTCGGATCTGTCCATATGCAAATCACGGAAATCTTCTTTTCAGACATTCGTTCGTTGCCTCTACATAAAAAACGTTTGGTAGGTTAGTTGATGATATTGATATGATCATCATATCTATCTATCTATCTATCGATAATGATTGCCTAGGTTATTATGAAAGTAGGAAGTGGTCTTATTTGATGTCGGCTGAAAACCCACAAAGAATATTTTCCAAAAAAAGAAATTTCTCACAAAATCCTATGAATTTTTCAGTTTTAATATTATTTTTGAGTACATGCATAAATCAAATTTATAACATGGTGTTGACAAAAGTACAACTAAAGCCTTTAAGTATACGCTATACTCGAGTAAATTATATTTAAGGTAAAAATGAACTTTTTAAATAAAACTTTGAAAAATGGCGATTGTTACCAACAGAGTAGTTTCTATTTTGTTGTGTTGTGACTGTTACGGCACAAGTGCATTGATTGCCAATGTTTCGAAAAATGAAATGTCAGGCAATCGAAAATTTCATAATAAGTGCCGTGGTTGTATACACGCATCAGGAGTTTCAGAGAACAATGTGTCCGCCATCYTGAAAAGTGAGCCCTGAATCACTGTTTTGCCTTAGAACAAATTTCATAGCTGCTTAGTCAACTAATCTATCATCATAACGTATATTATATTAGATTTATATTTACTTAGAACCATTTAATTTCTTTAGGAGTTATAATTTAGTGATTTGAGTCTCACTTTTCAAGATGACGGATGCATTGTTCTCCGAAACTCCTGATGCATGTATACAACCTTGTTGAACAGTTGCATTTCCGAATTTTTTGCACCTTCTCTTCATCTATGCTTGTTCTATCACCAAAAAGAAAAAAAGAATGAAACATTTGATTGCCTGACGTTCAGTTTTTCGTAACACTACGTCGGGCAATGACGATGGGACTTTTTTCTCTTGTTCTCTTACTTGAATGGATGGTTGTTCTAATAGTGATTTTTCAAGAAAAAAAATCGAATAACTGACTTTTAGTTTTTTGATCACTCCGTCAGGCTGCTTGACGCTTAGACAAGGGGGGTCATAGGCACCCCTTGTTTACTACATTAATGTTTTTCTTTCTTTCTATCTCCCTTTTTTTCTTTTTTTTTTGCATTTTAAAATTTAAAAATTTTGTTACTGGTTAACACTTTTGTTTATCATAAAGGAGGTCGACACCCCCTCCCATTTATCTCTTTTTTATTGTATTTATAACTATTTCTCTCTGGCTTTCGATCAAATTTGTCTAATACCAAAAATTAGACGTATCATTAAAAAAAAATGCTTAAATTATTTATCGTGTTTACACTTCATGACCTTAATACCAGGGTTCTTTTTATGCCCATGGAGTTGAAAACGGAAGTGTGAAAGGGGAAATAAGTAATAACTGCCTTATAACAAGCTTGTGAATAATACTGTAAAACGATTTTGGTCACTGAAAAACACAAACAATGCCGTGAATTTGCTGTGAATTTAGAATTACACGATCGTTCCCTATTTACAGGGTTTTGGGATTTAGACATGATTTTCCCATGATCTGTGTTAAAAGACAATTTACAACAGTGTGTTAAAGTCATGTAAATCGAGAATTCCATGATTTTTAAATACTATGGAAATTGATCACTTTTTCCAGTGTCAAAAAGTTTTCAGAATTTTTGAGAGCTGTGCAAGGATAGTTTATGCTGTACATACCAATTTCAAATAAAATGTTAATGACCAATGTTCCCTTTAAAGCTTGTTAAAGGTTAAGGTTTGCACCATAATGCTTTGCGCGCCTCTGTTATTGTAATGATTTACACCACTAAATACTTCTAGTATCCAAATATCGCCATAAAACGAATGTCAGATGGTTGAAAACTCTAATTAGCGTTTAAAGTGCTTAGAAAAGTGAGATGGTCAAAGATTCGAAACGCACAGTCCAACTTATATAGACTTTCGTTAAACTGAAATGGGCGCCTCCAGCCCTCGCGGGCCCCAAAGCATATTGGTGCACACTGGGCCTTTAAAATCACATGCCGTTTGAATACCTTTGACTGGACTGAAGGTTGCTATATGTTTAATGCATTGTAATAACTAATGTCAGTTTGTTTTCAAGACTTAATTTCCTTTCAAATTTTCTTTAAGTAAACTTTCTCGTTTTCCTTGACCGGCTCTCAGTTTGTTTCAGTACTTTAGATGTCTCAAAAACTCCCCCAAAAGAAGTGATTCAGAACATCTTTAGGATTTCTTGAGTCTCATCAGTTACAACTAAAGCAACTTACTAGTTTGTTTTTGATGCTTGTACGAATATAAGATAGACGCAGTGAGACGAGGATTGGGTTGACAAGAGACTGGAGATGAAGTAAAGTGAGACATATGGCCATGGCGACGTACTTAAAATCACTCGTGACATCTTTACCTGCGACGGCTTGTATCGCTACAACTATAATAAAAGGAACGTAAAAGAGAATCGACACGATCACTAATATTGTCGCCATGAACACTCGCTTGTACTCTTTGAGTCGTTCTTGTTGTCGTTGTTGTTCGTCGGGCTGCTGAACTGATTCTTGCTGTAGGACGATGGTTCTACGCTGACGGTAAGCTGTTACTTGTACTTTGATTGAGCAGTACAAAATGACTAGAGTGCTAAGACCTAGAAATGCCATGGGTGGAGCTAACAATAGTTTGCTCTTGTTATATATCGCAAAAACTGTGGCACTCATCAAAATTGTTAGACTTACTGCCCAATAAGTCATCGTTCCTAACACGAATCTTTTTACTGTCACCATCTTACGGTAAAAATTGGGATGTTCAATAGCAAGATATCTTTCCAAACTCACGAATGTTAACGTGCCAACTGACAGACCACAGAAGGTCAAAAGTGATAAAATATAAACCGTGTAGGGACAAGGCGAATAACAATTGTTCACAAGACAACTCTGGTGATATGAAAAGATGGGTTGAACCAACAAACCAACTAAAAAATCAGTCACTGCTAAAGCCACAAGTAAAATATTAAACGAAGAGGATCTAAGATCTTCATCTCCAAGAATTGACCAAGCAATCAGCGCATTTATAACGACTGTTAGAGGGGACGCTACACCATTGAAAACAGAAAGGACGGTGCGAGTCGGGTTGACTGAATCAGGTATATTTGTCGTGTTGTAGGGATCGGTGGCAAGTACGGACAAGAAGCAATAAGCAGGACTACTACTTACAGAGACGGAACTCATGCTTGAGGAGCTATTTGCCATATTAGAAGTAACAACTAACGTTGAAAATCACTTTAAAAACTTACGTGCGCTTGCTTCGTTTTCTTGAACTGGACTGTTTGTGATTGTGTTCTAATCAAGGCAAAGCAATGCATTATATATAAAACCATGTCCGGCTTTCAAATGTTGACTCATTTGTTTGACAAAAGTCGGCCTTTGATTGTACTTTAATGTACTTTGATTGTACTTTAATGTACTTTCAATTGATTGTACTTTTTTACGTAAATTAGGGATCGTACGTAAGGGACGATTCAAATTGTACTTCTTTCTGCTACAGAGTCTATTTTACGTAGTTTATTCCTATAATGACTCTCACGGTCCAAATTATATAACTGGTATTATACCTCATGTTGAATAAACTCGGATAATACTGAATTGCCTTCCGTGCATATCTTTCAAAATGTAATTTCAAAAATCGTGAAACCATTAAAGATATCGAAACAATAAATGTTTGAATTCCGTTTGCGAAAGCTTATTACATTCATTTGTTTAACAAAAGTTGCTGTTTTACGTTGGTATAGTTGGTCCATGGAAATTGCAAAATCGAGTGAACATAAAACTCTCTATGAGATTATGAAATGAAATATTTCAATATTGGTTAATTTTTTTATGCATTTTGAAGAAATAGTCAAATTTTCTCTCTTTTCATTCAGATGTGACCAGTAAGGCTAAACAATACTTAAACAAAAAATTGTGCATTGTCACGCTTGGTGGAATAAGTGCATAAAAACCTACAGCAGAATGCTTCCTAACAATTTCCCTTTAAAAACTATGGTTGATCTAACATTATTCTGATTCGAGTTTGCAGTTTTACTGCTTACTTATATATCTTTTTGTGCTGTTTAGTTTATCTTATGCAAAGCATTGTGTTGCCATCTGTTGCCAGTGGCTGATTAACCTAACTTGTTTCTGCGTGGCTACTATGTCTACTGTGTTTGTTGATGTTGGATGTTGGATGTTGCTTGTTGGAGTATAAAAGATTATATAAATACATTATTATACATATTAAATACATATAACAGAAATATATTGATTTATTGCATCTCCACCAAGGTTTTCAGTTTTCATAATTTTGAATAAAGAAGCACCGTTTGTTGTTTTCCAATTCCCGAACGGCTTTATGAAACAAAAGCTTTTCAAATTGTCTTTGTTTGCATTTCATGGCATTCCTAATGAGCCTAATTCATAAGTTTTATAAGTATGTTATCTTCCAAGTACCCTGGGAACCAGAGGCTGGATTTACTCGTTCTTGTAGTTTATATACGGCGCGAAGCGCCGTCTTTGTGGCCGAAGGCCGAACCGTAAACCAGGTTTACGGTTCGGCCTTCTCGGCCTCAAGGACGGCGCTTCGCGCCGTATATAAACTACAAGAACGAGTAAATCCAGCCTCTGGTTCCCAGGGTATCTTCCAAGGAATCGCATCAGAAACTCGGTGGTGTACTGGTATAAGACGGCGCATATACACCTATTTCAAAAAACGTTGTCGTCACCACGACACAGTCCACAGGMTTRAGCCTGMAARGAATCTCGGGGTTTCCATGCGTAATTAATATATATTGTGTTTTGAATTCAATGCCGGCAAACTACTAATTTACTATTGCGTGTGTTAAACACATCGAACAAGTCCCGCCATGAAAAATTAGTAGTGTTTTCCTTGAAATGAATATTCCACGTTTTTAAATCGTCAATGAGTTTCAAAGCTATTTTCGCCACGAGAGCGAGAATATCCAGTCTCGAATTCTTCAATGCTCTGTGTTAGCCTCATTTGTTCGCAAAATATTCCTAATTGTGAGAATAAAAGTGTGAGATTTCAAATCAATTCTATTGTCTCCCTTTTCAAATTCCATGCGTTTTCTCGGGCTATCAATGAAACAAAATAATATGTTGCTTGGTTTTGAAGCTAACACAGAGCAAATCAGAACTCTAAATCGGAGAATTTTGAATAACTGAAATTGAATATATAATATATATGGCAATCCCGAGATTCTTTGCAGGCTCAAGACTGTGGGCTGTGTACTGACGACGACAACGTTTTTTGAAATAGGTGTAGATTGGTCGGTTCGGGATCGTTTCGTGAAGGAGTCATTTATCAAAGACCTTTTTTCACTAAATTAATTCTATATTAAGTTGATTATTTCTAATACTTTGATTGTCATTAGCTAGTAGTAGTTAGAAAAAGCTAGAAGTAACTAGAATCAAGGTAAGAGTAACTGGAAATAAAATAGAAGTAACTAGAAACAAGGTGGAAGTAACTGGAAATAAGCAAGAATACAAGGTAGGAGTACTTCCTCTGGTATCCAGTTACTGCACGTGGTACAAATTACAATCAGGGATTGGCTAGATACCTCATGAATAATTAATGAGTACGAGAATTAATGAGTACGAGAATTGGTGTTACCTAAGTGTACTGTGTACTGTGACTCTGCAAATAAGTAATTTTAACTCGAGACCTAGTGAAGTTCTATGATGAGAGTCTAAAACTGAGAAMWTTTCTAGTGTTGGGCATACATCGAGTGTCTGTAAATCAGTTACAACACTGATGTTTTATGCATGAGTGTTATAACTAATTGCAAGTACTACAACTCCCATCATTTGTTACACAAATGGCGTCGCTGCACATTGCCTATTGACGTTTAAGGTCAAAATAGAAAGCTAAATTTAATAAAGTGTAATAACAAATTCCATTTGACGAAAAAGACCGAGAAATATATAAAAATTGCTTTCAAAAATACTTGCATCTTGACTTATGTCGAAAGCACTTAGCATATAGTGCAAGCTTGAGTCTCCTCTTGCAGGTGGAGAGATCTGGGAACTAGCCAAATAACGTCTGCGAGAAGAGAATAAAGCTAAGCCACCGAAATCCTTTGTTACACTGTGTATTTTGATTGAAAACAAGTTGCTGGAATAAAAGTGCGAAACGTTGACCACGCATTATTGATTAGTATGACAGTGGCTCATTTTAGAATCACGAGACAATCACGTGACCGTATACAAGTTATATCCCACCCCTGTCCCAAGTTGGTATACGTACGATCAGTGCAGTTGGAGCCAGTATGACTTGGTTTACAGAAGCACGAGCCATTCACGTGATCACATGTATTGTGAAGAAAATTATCACCAGGACATTCGCACTTTTCACTACACAGGAATCCATAAGAACCAGCAGAACACTCTACAAATAACAATTAAAAAAAGACAGAAAAGTTCTCTAATCATTACTTCAAGAATTTTATTTATTACTTATTAATTTTTACATAGTTTTTTTTTCCAGTTTTCAGTGATACAGCTATTTCAGAGAAGGCTGAATATTGAAGAAAGCGTATTCAAAGACCGAAATGCATTGTTGGTCGTTACATCACCGTTGGCAGAAAAGGATTTTTCGTGATTCCAGAAGGACTGTACCAGCTCTATACAGAACTTCAATGGAAAGCAATTTTAAAATTGTCATTTTGTAACACAGCTAACTGGGAGATTAATTTAGCAACAAATGCATTGCGGTCTTGGAATGCAGTATGCAGTATACAGTATACAGTATTTTTTTTACAGTATTTTTTTTTGAATACTTAAAAGTATTCAACGTTTTCTAAAACAGCTGCATATTTTCTTTATTTATTTATCAATCTCAATGAAATGAGTTTTTTTATTTGTGAGTGCTTTCTGTGATGAGTGACAGCTACTTACTAGATTCACACCGCTGACCACGATACCCGCCATCACAGGTGCATACTCCTGTCACGTGATGGCATTCTAAAGTGTGGATTGGTTTGCACTTACAGGATGATGAGCACTTATTGCCATACGTGCCCTGGGCGCAGACAGAGAAATTTTTTTTGTAACATAAAATGATGAATAAATGTTAGGAATGCATGTATGCTTTGCGACAGTTCATTGTTTTTAACTTTTTAAAATCATTAGAGTACAAACGCACGGAATAATGAAACTATGATTTTTAAAATTTAGAATTTTTAAAGATTATAGCAAAATTATTGGATCTTCAGTATGCAGTATTGTACATTTTTTCAAATCATTTAAGTAATTGTACAATCGCTTGCAAGCTTGAAATTAAAGACTGAAAGGTTATATGTGAACGAATTTGTATGATAATAACATTTTAGAAAATGTTTTTTTTATAATCTAAAACTCAAGGCTGTGAACTCTCCCGGATAATTTTGGGCCGTATCTTCCGATTTCAAGAATTCAATGTAATTCTTCCGGTTCAGGAAAATGGCAAATCTCCAATCCCAAAAATGGCATATAATTTATGACCAAAGTAAGATGTCAAGTGTTTTTTTTGTTTTTGTTTTGGTTCAGCATTCGAAAAATCAAAAATATCAAGGTTTGAAATTGCCTGGTGTTGAGAATATATTTATTTGCATCAACAGTGGATTGTAAGAATGGCATTCATATACTTTAGCCTTATATGTGCTGTCGTTTCACACAATGATTCTAAAACTGATTTAAATAAACAACAACAGATAACTTTTGAAACAGATTCGCAAGAACAAAACAGAAACACTCCATAACATCAGAGCAGAGCAGAGCAGAGTTTAAACGGTACCTCTGTCGCAAAGCTTTCCATAGTACCCAGGATTACACTTGCAGAAGTCAGGTTTGTCGCAAGTACCCTTCTCGCACTTTTGACTGCAAATAGCTGAATGTAATAAATGAGAGAAACGAGATAAAGTAACGAATAGGAATCTATAATCTATGTTTTTTTTTGTAAGTGAAAACAGAATAAAGACCGGTACTACCTAGGCTCAGTCTCCAGCCGTCGGGATTTCGTGCGCCCGCGATACTCTCTCCCCTGACGGCTGGGCGCATGAGGTTCGCTATTGTTATAGCAGGCAGCAGTGTAACAAAATGGCGTACAATTCGTTGTTTGAGATTCTCTTTGAAAGTGCTTGTTTGAAGGCTCTGAAGTCGTTTAGCTTGGACGAATTTAGAGAAATACAGCAAAAGGCTCTTAAAGAGATTGTTCTTGGAAAAGATGTCCTTGTTATTCTTCCTATACTGGCTCGGGCAAATCTCTTATTTTTCAAACAGCGCCACTAGTGTATTTTGCTCGTTTTTCTGGCAGATAATACATCCATTTGGATTATTAAACCCTRCACATGTTTTACTTGGGGTAATTTCCATTCCTTTCTCTTTTTTAAAGCGCTAACTATTACATTATATCGCTACTTCGCGAAGTTTTCATTTCACATAATTTCCCGCCTTGTAGCAAAACCTTTACGGCTGTTGTCAGATATTTCACTTCCGTTCACTGAAAAATTCACTTCCGTTACGTCATAATATGCTAATTACACAAAAACGTCACGGACATGCGCGACACGTTTCGAACCCCATGCGCCCAGCCGTCAGGGGAGAGAGTATCGCGGGCGCACGAAATCCCGACGGCTGGAGACTGAGCCTAGGTACTACCTTAACTGGGAGAAATCTACCTTGTGGACACTTGTCCCCGACTTGTTTCCATCCCTTGCAGCATACAGTAATCATTTTGTAAACTTGTCTTGTTGCTTGACGGTAGTTGACGGCATATGCTGTCCTTCAGAGAGGAATTTACAAACCATTTTAATATACTCAGGAACAGCGGCACACAAATATTTGCAATTTAGTAATGTTAATGTGTAATTAATGTGTAACTTTTTTTCTTTTTGGCACAGATATTTACGATTCAGATGTAGCGACAAATATTCTTAATATTCTTCAATAATTCTCAAAACGCAAAAAGAGCATGACCCGGCACTCTACCTATTTAAGATATTTCAGTGCAGGTTCTTTGGTTGAAATGATACAGGTCGTACCTTTTTGCAAGTGATTGCTTCTGGTCAAAAACCAAAATCATTGACTACAGTGATTAAATTAATGCTCAAAAATACCCTACTTGTAACGTGTACATTGTCCCCAGCCCCACGATCCACATGACGTTTTGTAACTAACGTTTCTGCTATACTGGAAGTACAAGTGTAATTTTGTATGTCAAACAATCAATGTTCGACAAGGTTTTTAGAAATTGTTGTACGTTTAAAAATATTGTCGCAGGTCAGTGAAAAAATATTTTATGCTAATTATCGGTTGTCATTTTGGAGATGTTATTCACGTTATACTTGGGTTATGCAAAGTTTCTTTCGTGATTAAACTAAGCAAACATTCCCCTACCAAGATTATCAATTATTTTGTACTACCATGTACTACGCTTTGTGAAAATTACAACAAAGCTAATAATATCAAATGAAATCACTCAAGCTCACTGTCCTTCTTCGCATTGGAAAGCCGGAAACGTCTCTGAGACTTCAAGTATACTGCGGGCATTTACTGGACGGTTTGTAAAAATAACTGAACTGAAAAGCTTCATACTGCCCGCTATTAATATGACAATCATTATTCAATTTGATTTCACGGATTTAATGTGTCCATTCTCAGTTGTACCTTAGTTGTTTGGTGCAGACATTAGGTCCATTAAGACTTGCTGAGGCTCGTTCGTACAGCATTAAAAACAGGAAATAGTCTATCACTGGTAGTTTCATGATGTCAATTTTGTTTGTCTTAGTTCTTTAGAATAGACCAGTTTTATGTAGATGTATTTATGATGTAAGTTCTTTGGCTATGGATATGATTCTGTAGTCGAGCATCATTCCCTTGTCGATGCCATGTATCAAATAGCAATTTAGAAAGGTCGTAACATGAGATATATGTTTTTGCTTGTGATCCCATTTTTCGTGACAAAAGTGCCTAAACCTAAATATTGTTTTGCAATTAGGCATTACTTCGKGCCTACAGGCCTGGGTTCGATTCCCAGACGGGCGATCGCGTTGTGTTCTTGGGCAAGACACTTAACCCTCTCAGTGGCTCGTCTTCTCGGAAAAGGACGTAAAGCCGGAGGTCCCGTCTCTCATTAGTCACTTCTCATTAGCATCAGAGGGACGTTAAAGAACCCATACCACTATTCGACTAAGAGTAGGGCACGGAGTTCCCGGTGGTGTGGCCAGGGGCTCATCTCACCAGCATTGAGGTCGGCTTGGCGTAGTGTTCGTATAAAGGTTACTAGTCAATGAGATCTCATAATAATATACAACTAGTAATCCAATGAATGTTGCCAAGTGCTGGAACTATGTAGATGTAGTGTAAAAGATGAAATATCGCAAGGAGGAGAGTTAGTTTAACTATTTTAAAGATCTATAGTCAGGGACATTATTCTTTAGGCGGGTGAGAGTGATTAGACCTGTAGTTCATAAGATCAATTATATTGATGATTTTTAAGTTATTTTTATTGCAATATAGAAGTTTACTGATGTAATTAAATTACCATAGAGTGACCTTTAATTGAATTCTTATTTGACAATGCCATTTTTGTGGTGTATACCATTTTCGTGATTTTTTATTATTATGCCGGCTAATATATAGCTATTTCGGATAAAATGGCGAATGTCAATGGTCGAACGGCGATTGCACGACCGAAAGTAGCCATGGGTTTTGCTAGTTGAAAGGCAATAACAACTGAATTGTACTGCAAGATAGTCTGAATCCAATAAGAGACATTTTATTTATCAAAACAGTGTAACCATAGTCCCTTTCGGTCGTGCAATCTCCCTTCGACAACCGCCGTTTGCCGTTCTCCCCTACTTTTTTTTTTTGAAATAGCTGTATACCGATTTCATTGTCGGATAAAACATTGAATATCAATTGTCGAACATCGATTCTCGACAGAAAGTACTGAAATTTTGGTTGTCAAAACAGTCTAACCAAAGTCCCTTTCGGTCGTGCATTCTCCCTTCGACAATCGCCGTTCGCCGTTCTCCCTGACAACGTTTTCTGAAGTAGGTGTTTAAACTTATTCTAAATTATAACAAAAACAACAACTGCAATCGAAAACAAACAAACAAACAAAAAATATGAATGTGATAGCATTTATAAGGAAAACTTTGTCACTAATGTAATCTACAACCCAGTGGCCACTTAGGACTTGATTTTTCTGCTTAGAAATCCGCTGTCAAAGAAATCATGTTAAAAAATATTTATTTTTCAGCCAAGGGCAGATCTACGGTTAGGGGGTTGATTAGGTCGGCTAGACAATCCGCTTTTTCTAGGGTTCCACTAAAAAATCGAAATTATGATATGTTAATTAATAAGGTAGATTGAGCTAAGTACTCCTACGCAAGATGATAAATTCATATCTTATATTTATTTATTATAAGTGGGTCATCGCGGAGTCAAGGTACATATAAATGGGACTCGTTCTGAAGAGCAGCTAAAACAGCATTCATCTTAGAACAATTTCATTTTTGGCGGACCAAAATCTATCGTTTTAAATTGGTTTTCTTGTGCATATAACCACCCCCTTTGTAGGGTTGTGTGTCCGCCACTGTAAGGGTGTTCAGATACCCTTTGGCACTAGGTTGTTGGGCTCAATAGTGACAATCTTTCCCTATTGTGTTTTTTTGGCATCATTTTTGCTACAGATAAATTCACGTTGGGATACAGGACTGCAGTCTAACGATCATTGATCGCAAGGTCGAGACAATGATGTAGTTTCTGTAAATCTTGACATTGGTATCAGTAGGTGGAACGCCCTACATAACAATAGTAAAGTATTCAGTATTCTTTGTATAATATGTCGAATATAATGTGTTGTCGCGCCTTATATCTTTACTTAATCATTGCTTATCCTCTCCCCGAAACAATATAGATAGTCCTCAATGTAACAAGAGCCAACCAACACTGAATCGGAGAAAGGGAAGGTTGAAGACATGGGAAAAGAGAGTACTCTAATTGTGCAATTTCGCTCATCCGCGACAACAGTTTTGTCCGGCCCGATTGCAGTTTTCATTGTTAAACACGAAAAGAAGAAAAGATGTTTAAAACTTGAGCATTTTCATTTTAACAAGGAACGAGTGCAGGGGCTTTAGGAGAATTGGGAATAAACGGAATAAACGGAATAAAGTTTATATAGCGTCTCCTGGGCGAAACACTAACATACATTGCTTTGTTTGCTTTTTTTTCTTTGCCATAAGAGGTGGAGTAGATCACGGTCAGGTCCAGAAATTTCTCATGGTGCCTTCCAAAATGAAGCAATGTATTCTATCATTATCATTAAAGGAAGTAATATTGGTTTGGTGCACCAATGGATTCAGTGAACGAGCTGGGTATCTTGAAAAAACTTGTGTGGGTGCTGCTTCAGATACGCTGGATTTCCTTTCTCATCAGAAAAAAACAACGCATGTTTCGTGAGCAGAGGTGCATCCGAAACGGGCTAATGTATCTCAAACAATAGTAGTACTTTCACTTACCAGGTTGTTTTTCTGAAGACGGATCAGGAACGATTCTGTCATATTATTCATTGAGCTCTCTGAGACTTTATTGACGGTTGGGATCGTCATGTTTCTCATTGTAAGAATCTGTGTTAACAATGGAAGAAATTCATCATTTTCTTTTCAAAATTATTATCGGAGTACTGCGCATAACAAGGAATCAGGGCGTAGCAGTGATTATACATTGCAACAGTGTCCAATCTCATTCTGGTACACCACACTTACTGTCTGTTCAAAACGCCCTCCTCCTCCCCTTACTAACGGTCCTCTAGGTGACTTTTTTGTGCTCACACCTTTGACTCACGGCTTTGAGGGTACCCTCATAGCCATTAACTCCATAATGCCTGTTTGATTGATTCTTACCAGTAAACAGAGCTCGGAAATGGAGGAACGAATGTGGCGTGGATATTGTTATCACGGCATTGAAAATATAAATTCATCATTTTCTTTGAAAATTTATTTAGTTTGTCTAGTTGTTTTGATTCAACCATTTTGTTCCTGGTTCCTCAAAGTTTGCGAGAAAAATTACGCTGTCGAAGGGATTACACTGCGCCCTTGAGCTGGTCAAATGTTTTTGCGTTATGTACATTTAGATAGCTCCAAACTCTACGCTCCCGGCAACACAGCAATGCCGACGTCCTCAAGTCTCAGTGAACAGTGAACCCTTGAAACCGTCTCAGTTCAATTGCATGTGAAGGAGTTTCATAAGGGAAAGGAGAGTTCCAGCTGGAGTTCTAAACTGTTGAACCATCCGAAAATGTTTTCCCCATATTGTTTATAAAGTCTCACCAATTCAAAGTGTTTATTTGCCCAGGAAAAGCGATCTCGGAACTCCTGTAACCTTCCCTCTGCACACATCCCTGCATTAACATTGTTTAACCAGGTTTGGCGAGGTTCATTTTTGCTTGATTTATCATAACCGAAAACACCAAGTGGATTCCCAGAGGGTCTTTATTGATGATATTTTAGTTTAATTTAATTTCGAGCCTTTTTCAAATGACAAAAGAAGACTTGGAAGGTTCAGTGAAGGAGATTAGATAATAACCATATCATACCTTATGGAGTTCCACGACGGTTTGATGAAGGTTAATTCGAGTATAACTCCAACTCTTGAACAAGTCGTAATTCTTCGAGCCAACAGGAACAAAGTGGAATTGGCAAGCGAGTTTGACTGGATCAATAAAAGCTGAGAATTGACGGTAAAGGACGTTAAACCTGTCTTGGACCTTAAAGATAAAATAGCATCAAACAACAGATGAGTTGAATGCATACGATTTTAATTAACTGCAATTTTGCATAAGACTCTGCACTGGGTTATGTTTTGATTCATAATTTCTAAGAAGTTTTTGTTAATCATTGGTGACTCCTTGTTGATCTTTTTACCGTAACAGTAAACAGAAATATCGATCAGCAGAAATGATCCCTTCGGTGAATAATTCCTTCAGATTTTCATAACTGAGAGTCACGATTCTTGATATCTCGATTTTATCCCCGACGTAAAGGACATTCAACGATCGAACCCGACGCCTAAAAACCTGTCTGAAAACGGTTCTAAAAACTACAGTTTTTTACCTTGAACACGGCATTTACTTATACAATACAATGATTGTGTAAAACGTCATTCATAGCTGTATTTTCTCGATTCCAAGTAATGACCACTGAACCCTCGACCATCTGTCTACAAGAGCGGGACTTGTTGTTCCGAGAAATTCTCAGGTCCTTGCTTTGTCATGGAATACTACTCAAAGTTTTCACTAATCAGTTCCGAGAAATGGAAGACAGTTTTATATGTTGGACTGCTACAATAACCTACTAAGATATGTTTTATTTCAAATGTGATCATATAATCGTTGACCGGACTTACATGTTTAGACCGACTCTTGGGGAATCCCCACCACAAAGTTTCCGCTTTCACAGGGAACCCGGTTAAAAAGCGGATACGTTTAGATCCTCGATGCTGATCAACATATTGTCTGATATCAGCATGCAACAAAGGAGAGGAGATATCAGATATCAGATATCAGACACTATGGATCTGCCGTCTCTCAGATTTACTCATCACATCAACTGTTCCACTCCAACTGAACCAAACTCCGTGGCACGACATAGAATACTGCAGTCCATTGTTGATAATAGTATAAATGGCTGGGACCATCTATGATCATTTAACAAATTTATTACATTATTTTTGCAGGGCCCTACTGGTACAGAATAAACATATACAAATCCCTTCGTTAAATTTGTCACTAAATTATGGAGCTAAACGAGCTACAAGTTTGCCGATGAAAATCATAGTTTTTTTCCTATGCACTTCCGTGTGGAATCATGGAAGACGTGCCTCTCAATCAAAAGATCTGCCTTGTGGTTTGGACTCGACACTAGAAATGGTCTCTTCAAGTAAAAATGGTTTGATATGCAGTTCGAGTCTACGGTCTGTGGGGGAAAGACCCTTTTTCACTTTATGGGAATGCTGCTCTATTAGGGAGATAAAAATGTATTTAATCCCAGATCACAATGTAAACGCCTGTCATAGTCCTTTGTTTTGCCTAAAAGATAAAGCTGCATTGATGTCATAAGATAGGCGGTCTCGTTATATGATAGCTCTTTGACGTTGTTGTTGGCGTCTCTCGCAGTTATGGGTCTATTCAAACACAATCTTGCATGGACCTGTTTAAAAGAACCTAATCCATGTGGCGTGGCCGGGATAGGCCACGTTTATGTTAAAACTTCCAATCTACCTATTGCGCCTCATCATAGTTATACCTATGAATCTGCAAAGTTGAGCTGTTAAAAAGTCTGTGAATGGTTATTTCTAAATAAACGTTTCTATTGAGCACCTTTTGTTATTGTATACAACTGAGTAAATGTTTCACAAACTGAGCGCTTTACGCCTGAAAGCTTTGCATTCGTTTTCGTTAACTGTGCAGTATCTTAGAATAAACTTTTCACATTGTATAAAAGTGTACATCTGGGCATTTATGCATCATGTAGATCTTTCTCTAATCAATGAAACTGTAAATTCTGTTGAAACTTTTAAAAAGCTAGCTACCATCAATCTGCACCAAAGATTGTGGCTGAAAGGCTGATCACCATTCGTTCTTCTTCACCTTTACAAATGTTCATATATCGATCGAATCAATACTGACTGCACTTACCGACATCGTGCGACAATTAACTGAACCTGCGCTCACGATACCAAGACGAAGAATTGGTGGGATAAGACGCAGACGAGTGTTGATGAACGTGTACTTCTTCAGCATCTGCCAGAAAAAGATTGGTATCGAGTTCATGAAATGTCGATGTTCATCAGTTACTAGCTGATTGTTTTTTGTCAAGAAGACGAACGGAGACATAGATGTCCATAGATTTTCTGCACCGGATATAATTCTGTGTGTACGTTTTCGCTAGAATATGGCGGAACTGTGGCGAACGGATACTAAATCATTTCAGTCTGTTCTTTTTGCGTAGTAAAGAATAACGTTTTAACTCTGCATTTGACCACAATTCATGTTTAATTCTTTGAAATTCTAAACAGGGGTTAAGTTTGTCTGAGGAACGCTGGAGTGGTTTCGACTGATTTGGGTTTTAGTATATTTTCCGCAACTTTCTGCAATGTTTTCCAATTTGAATATTTAAGATCGACATACTTCTCCAGCAGAAACATGTCTTGCAACACTTTCACCAGAAAATAAACACGACTTAAAGTGATATCTGTCTTTTTCGTAAGGCTTTTCTCAGAAAGTTTCTGCCGCGAAAGAAGTCCACTCGAGTTAAGCTCTTTCCACGTTTTAGGTGTCGGTGAAATGATTGGAAAAAATGATATAAAACAAACTCTACACTTACCATTTGTTCTGTTGCGTTTGATTTTAATTTCAGCTTCCATGTTATGACATAAATTCCTGATACAGCTCTCCTCATCATGAAAGCAGGGAGTGAAACATTACCAACGGCAGTTGCATTTGTGCTTGTGGCCTTTGAGGCACAAGATGCCATTGAAATAGCAGTGAAAAGAACGAAGACGAAGAAGATTCCTGATGCCATTTCCTAGGTGAGGAAGAAGAGGAAAACCAATGGCGTTAGTGCTTTAAAAAGGAAAGATTTGCAGCTCAACCATTTGCGTAGTTAGTTTGCCAAAATGTGGTGCGTTAAATCTTCAACAGAACGATGCGATATTACATTTAGAAGCAGAACTCTATTTCTAGGAAATGCTTTTTTGCGTGTAAAACTCTATATTAATGTAATGAGAAACAACTAAGAGAGTTGAGCGACTATGATTGAGTCTTTATCGTTAGATTTGTACGTTTGAAAGGAAAGGTAGAATCGTGCTGCGATCAGAAAGTGTCTCCTTTCAAAGACCACACACACAAAAAGATTTTTTGTACATTACTTTTGCAATATTTTTCAGAAAGCTCTGCGTTTCAATAATGAGTCTACCACTAGATTTTCACTCGAAGACAACACCTTTCTTTGACCAAAATGCTTTGCCGCTTAAAAATGAGTTGGAGTTTGCGCATTGTGCGTATTTACGAGTTTGTTACTGTTTTTCTTGGAAAGAAACCAGTTAATTTGTATAAATGGCAATCACATTTTAGTCACGTTTCATGAATTAGCATTAATCGTACGCCTTCAGGATCAATCAATGCAGATTCATTGTTGTTTTACGGAATAATGTAGGGGTAAAACTTTACTGACCTCCTTGAAAATATGGGACCTGTGACCAATCTTGCTTCTTTAACCACTGAACTCGTTTCTGCGTATCTAACTGTGATGTATAGAGGGTCATAGACTTTTTAGCGTCTATTGACCTTATATTCTAAATTATATTCTTCATTTTTGAATTCAAGGCAAATAACCGCTGTTTCTTTTTGACAGCAGATTCTCTTACGCAAATTAAAGACCTTACCAAAGACACACACACACAAAAAAACACGGAAAATGTTGTTAGTACAATAGCACTATAACAAATTAAATTTCCCCCCAGTTGAGGCTAAAGCTGTATTTCCAAAAGGCTTAAACCTTAGGTCTTATATATGGGAATACAGGGTTATTCTCAACTCGGGGAAAATGCAAATGTTCAATGCTATTATGCTAATAATGACATTTTCTCGTGCTTTCAATCTTTTGTTTTCCGTAAGGTTTTTGCGCAGGAGAATATGATGTGGAATAAAGCAGCGGTTTTTCGCTTTTCGTTTCGTTCTTTTTCTCTTTTTCTTTTGACAGTGCCAAAAAAAGAAAGTTTCGCCTGCTTCTTTTCAGTAAGGGTTGGCTGTACACGGACATTGTTTTGTATCAGAATGAAACACTCAATAAACTCGGCAGTGTTTGTGAGCGCGAAGATAGTCTTTTAGAACATGCATCAATCATGCAAAAACATAAGCTCTTTCTACATTATACATACCTTTTCTTAAGACGTGGTATAGCAGCCCTTTTGGCTAGTCCACTTGGCTATTTATCACTTGTCTTGCAATCCAAGTTTTTGAACTTAGTTTACCGGTGTACTTTGCCTGGTTTATTTATACTATTTCATCACCAAAATATTTATCACAATCCCAAAATAATTTGAATTCAAGACGGATGGTTATTTTTTCGAATATCTAAGTTCTTCCCGCATTTTTCCTTGAAAGAGTGATATTTCAATGATTACTTGTAGTTGTAATATTTTATTTTTAGTTTAACTTCAAGCGTTTCTAAGCAGGGTGCAGTGAAACTACGCCCTGAACGACTAATCTATGACTAGCAGTTGTAGACGTTATCAATTTTTCAACTTAAGCATTAGAATATATTGTCCTTGTTTCCATTCTCTGTTAAAAACACACCAGAGTTTTGGTAAAACACGAGGAAGGTTTTATTTTAAACCACGAGCTGAATTCTACCAGTCAATGCACGCGTTATATAATAACTATCTTGTAAAAATAATTGCTAAGGGGGCGAGAACATGAATGCTTTAATCTTGAATTTTTAATTCACATTGCGGTACATTCGGTTTGAGATCTTTTTCAAAGTCACGATCAGCTCATTTAATGTTGTTATAAATAGCTTACTGTCTGACCATGTAATCGTGATGTTCTAGAAACTATTTTGATGGCTGTTGTGAAAATCAACATTTTCTAAGGAGGGGTAGCCGCCTTAATCTCTTAAGCTCACTTTCGATATTTTTCTTTATCTTCCTTTATTATGTTGAAAAATTACTGCAATTCTTGTAAACTTGAAAGGCCATCTACTTTAATATACTGAATATCAATTTTGTATTAAAAATATTGTTAGTTGTTCTTGTTCTTGTTGTGAAATTGCGTTTGGGAATTCTTGAAATGTTGTACGGAAGACTTGTAAGCTTGAATGGCCCTTTATTTGAACGGTACATGCAGTATCCCGCGACGATTGTGTATTTCCTGGTGTTTTGTTTGAGAATTGAGGCAGATAGAGTATAACATGTAAAGAGGACAATTATGACAATCTTGACAATTATGTTACAAGATCTCCTTCACGTTATGTAATATATCTCAATCTTTAGAAATGAGATTTTGCTGTCTTGATTCTTGTATGATGATAAGAGCAATATAACAAATAGTTTTCAATACTGGCCTTTGTAACAATCTTTGTCCAGTCATTTATTGTTATAAAAAGGGATGATACAGACTCGTAGAATGGTAACCCCCCAGCTTCGGGCGTGTGATATAAAACTAGGACATATTTGTAGAAGAGTAACAGCAATACTGGTAACCAATCAATACAGTGGTCAATAACAAGGCAGCGCAACAACTGGACAATATACAAACAAACAGCACTTAAATTTCCGAACAAAATGAAATATGAGACTTTATTTGCAAATCAATAGAGTGTAACACATTTTCGGATATTCCAGCACTTTTTTAGGTGTGATTCATGGAATTTTGTAGTCAATAGCCTTGTCTTTGTCTTGAAACCGCAAGCACATTAGCCAGCGTGCTGCTTCATTGATTATCATCTCGCTTTCACAATCAAATATGGACGCTCCTGATGAAACCGCTCCATAGGCTACCCAACCATTGCTTGAGAGAAACAAAAGAATGAATGCGCACGCTTCCGCAAGCTTATATTATGTTATCGAATCGGCGCGCGCTGCGGGTTACCTGTGGTATTACGTCATTGATCCCTTGCCTCGCGGGCCTCGCGGGCCTCGCGGGCCTCGCGGGATACAAACTAGTCTGTGACAAGGTATGAAACACTGGTCACGTGACAAATATAATTTTGCTCCTTTTTCACCGAAAATCAGCAGAAAAGGACAATTTTCGTTCAAATAATAACACATCGCTAGATTTCCTAACTATCTCATGATTTTCAGTGTAAAATGTTCATTACATGACGAGAAAATGAACATTAAGCATTTTACTTGCAGTGGACCGATGTGTGCACCAGGTTGGTGGGCAGACATCGGAAAGCGTTCGGACTTTCTAACTCGTGAGCTTGTCGAGAACTATCGTGAACCATCGACATTTTCACGGAGTATTTTCGTAATCGCCGAGTTCACCACATTTCTTCATGAATCCGACCACAAGGATCACAAGGACAAGAAAATGAAGATAATTTGGCCGAAAACAGCTCGAAATYMACAAAAGATAGCCTCAAACTTTTTAATTCTGGTTCATGGATGCTTCTGTGCTGAATGAAGAAGACAAACCACCTTTTCAATGACACTTTTTAGCCGCCATATATAAAAGCGAAACAAACTGAGAGAAAAAAAGATATGAGCGTTTACTATTTCCTAGAACGTCTAGCCAATTTATGGCACTTTTAACTTTTCAAGTCATTTCAGTTGTTCAATATTCATAGTAAATTTAACTCTGAATACGAAAAATAGTACTTTTTGATGTATTTTTAGTTTTTCAGACGGCATCCAAAATAACTTAACGCGGGAGTGTATGTTACCAGTGGATTCCTGTAAAAAAAAAAACAACAAACAAACAAAAACACAAAAAGAGCTTTTTACCAATTTGTTTGTCTTTATATTTCCTTTGTTATTTGTTTACATAATAACTGTATAGTTTTTAAAGTACATGATATGTTTGAACTTGAATTTGAGAGACCTTTTTTTGTCAATGAAATTTCCACGCTGTACACTGCTGTAATCAATAAAATGTGAATACAAGCCTCCATTTATTTCCTTGACTTGTTTATTTAAAAACATATTTTCTTCATTTAGTAGTTTCCCCCCTTTTACAGTTTGAAGTTTAAAACTAAGTAAAACAAAAACAGCTAGAAAGCTAATCGGGATACTTCGCCTTACATTCGGAGACTATTCGTCTATTTCTCGCCCGCTCGATTTCCGATGTCTGCCCAGCAACCTGGTGCACACATCAGTCCATCACGTGACCAGTGTTTCATACCTTGTCACAGACAAGTTTGTATCCCGCGAGGCCCGCGAGGCAGGGATCAATGACGTAATACCGCAGGTAGCCCGCAGCGCGCGCCGATTCACGATAACATAATATAAGCGATTCTTTGATATATTTAGTATTTTGGCCTCGCAAGACTTTGATATTAATTTCACCTTGATTTTCTCAAGTATGTTAAGGCTTGAGTTATTCGGTCTTGACGCACGATCAGCTTGTATTGTCTGTAAAACTAGTTTCGTTTTATTGTAAAACCTCCTCAGTTACAAGACTTAAAGTTAAGTTAAAAGTAATTTTTCTTTGTAAATTTTTTTGTAAATGCTCTGTTCGCAGAGTAGCTCATTTAGTGCATCGAAGACCTTAATTGAGCGGGAGCCTTCGTCACTCTAAAGCTAAAGCTGCTCGAAATAGAACGTTATAACATGAATCGACATCCTTTTTTTAGATTGCTAATAAAGTTATAAAAGTTTTTTTCTTACTTAGATACTATTTTGGAGATTTTTCTTTCCCGCTCATTTAGTGCATCGAAGACCTAAGTTGAGCGGGAGTCGAGCGTCACTCTAAGTGTGACAAGAAGCTAAAGCTGCTCGAAATAGAACGTTATAATATGAATCGACATCTTTTTCTTAGATTTCTAATAAAGATATAAAAGATTTTTTTGCCAAAGCAAAACTAGCACTCATTTAGTATGTTAGTACATCGAAGACTTTGAGCGGGAGCCGATCATATATAGCCACTTCGTAAAAAAAGTCGGTTCTCGGGGAAGTGAAACACAAGAGATGACAATAATTATGCAAAAATAAATAAATAAATAAATAAAAAGATAAACAATAAATAAAATAAAAAGGAAAAAACAAAATCATTAAACGTCTCCTCCAGGGAATCGATCCCGCTACCGTCAAACCTACATTGGATTTGCAAGCGGCGCCTTAACGCGGTGCGCCACTGGATCACTCTCATTTACATAATAATAGACCACTTGACACTTTCACCGAATAGACTACCCCAATTTGACATTATACTTTCGATAGTTGCCTAGTTAGTGCAAGGGGTTATCCATCAGTGTCTAGGGGCCGGATAGCTTCTCCCTCACTGGCTTTTTAGTTAGCGCGAAGTTAGGACCAATTATCGGGATAGCATGGAAGAGCCGAAATCTCTAACCGGAATGTAAATCGATTCGCCGCCTCAGCTTCACAGAATGTCTCGGGGGAATCGTCCCAACCTTTTTTCGATTTTATGGTCATGGGTTCGAATCCCACGACTCAAGTTTTTTCTTTTTTTCATATTACTTTTCTTTTTGCTTTTTGTTTTTGTCTTTGATTAGATTCCTACATTAATGTTTGTTTGCAATATCTGCAGAATCATTTAGTAATTATTTCTATATATTTCAATAATGTGATATTTTAAAGCGCGCTTTCATTGGCTTKTTTTCATTAAACGTATAATAGGTTTTCACAGCGCGGCGATTGCGCAACCGAGAATCAATTTTTTTCTATTCGTACGGACATGGTATATATTCTGATTCCGCCAACACTATGGATAGATACTTCAACGGTTTATAAGAGCTAAACCACGATGAATGTGATTTCTCATTATCACCTCCCTGCTCATTCACTGCCATTTGGCTGCCGTTGTCTTCCAGTCTTGATTCAGTTGGGGTTTCAAGAATTGCTTCTAGCTTGGACTGTCCTTCGTCCTTTGAAATCGTAGGCTGACATCCTTCATGTTTCTGGGGTGTCCTTTGATTCGGTTAATCAGTCAATAGCGGATTTTGCCAATCTTAAAAAATGTACAAAAGTAACAAGAGGTTTAATATAACAAACTGTTGACAGGTTTATTTTTCTTAGTGCTGCATATTTTATCTTCAAGGGGTGGGAGGAGAGTGGGGAGGGGATAACATTAGCATCATCCAAATCATATCAATACCTTTCGATTTCAAGCTCGTGATTACTGATTCTCAGGAGGAGCCGACGAGTTCCTGGGAGAAATATATCTATCCCAGCTACTGCTGTAAGTAGCAACTGGTTGACAGCCAGAAATTCAGGAAAAAAAGATCTCTCCAGGCAAGGGTTAATTTCAAAGAATTTTTGCCAGGAAAATAAACATATCCTAACTAAATTTGTTTTTGCCAAGAATAAAATGGTTAGAACTTTTCTGTGCTTAAAGTCTTTAACTTGTGTTAGATAACATGTTCTTAGTTTACGACTTTGTTCTGAAGGGGCTCTTTTGCATTTTTCGTTGTTGAAGAGGCTCCCCCGCCATGTTTGTACTTCCAAATCGACTAACTGTTTTTCATTATAAACGAAGACTGCTTCTTCTGCGTATTTAAGGTTTTTTATTCTTCAAACCAAGCTTTCGGCCTTAGCGGCTATTTTCAAGGTTGTTAGTACACGTAATATGGCCTCTAAGGCCGAAAGCTTGGTTTGAAGAATAAAAAAACCTTAAATACGCAGAAGAAGCAGTCTTCGTTTATAAACAAATTCCTGCGTACAAAGAAATTCTGAACATTGTTTTTCATTAGTCCGCTGAGGAAAAAGCATGCTAATTGCAGCGTTCATGAGTAGTTTTTTATTAGAATTATTTAGTTTCCCATTCATTTGTTCATGACTTTTATCATCCCGTTCCGATTGAATATTAGCGTATGTGCAATTTTCGATGTTTGAATACATTCCATGTTATCCGTAGTCCTCAATCTGGATATTCACTTGTTTCGGTATTCAATGCATCATTGTTCACAATGTCACGGAACCCCACGAAATATAATCTGCTCGTCCTTTCAGTGTTGTTTCTGTATTTGTCGACATTCAGAATGATTTTGGAGCTAATTTGCTTTGGAATTTTCGTTTTTTTATTGATCGATCACTTGTTTTTAAAGGACAATACTAAACTTCCACCAGGTCCACGTCCATGGCCAATTATAGGAAACCCAAGCTTGCTTTTCTGTACAAATATGTATTTACATTTGACAGAGTTGGGCAAGACGTACGGTAATGTGATGACTGTATACATGGGTCGCAAGCCAATGGTTGTTTTAAGTGGACCTGTCATCAAAGAAGCCCTTGCACACCAATCCATTGAATTCGCAAGTCGACCACCAAGAGCAGAAACGTTTAGATTTGATGAATCACAAGCACCTTCGTTGTTTTTCATGGAATACGGACCAGCATGGAGACTGTTTCGTAAACTAGGCCATCAAAGCATCAAGGTCTATGGGCAAGAACGTCTACAGGAGGTCATGGACGTAGAAATGGACGACCTTTGCAAACGCCTTGAGAGATTCGAAGGGAAGCCTTGCGATGTCAATAAAGAATTTGCCATGTCAGTGATGAATGTCATATGCAATCAACTCTTTGGTAGTAGGTATGATATCGAGGATCCAGAGTTTCTTGAGATTTATAGAGTGCATGACCTCATCATTCATAGCCCTGTGAGACGCTCTATTCTAGAGTTCATTCCATTTTTAAAGGAGTTTGTACCAGGATCCAAACTTCCCGAGAAAGAGCTTCGTGATGCAGGCGACTGGAGAGATAACTTGATGAGTCGTAAATATAGGGAGCATCTTGAAACTTTTGACGAGGATAATATCCGTGACTATACCGACGCTCTTCTGAAGGCAAAACTGGATGCTGAACGAGAAGACTTATCATCCAAAGAAYACTTGACTGAACCAGCTATAATACGAGCTGGCTTGGCTACGGTGTTTCTGGCGGGGTCAGAAACAACAGCCTCTACGTTAGGTTGGGCCGTGAGGTACCTACTGCACAACCCCGATGTCCAAGACAGTCTACATCAAGAACTTGATCAGGTTTTTGGTCCAGATGAAATTCCTAAATTAGACAGCAAGAATTCGTTACCACTACTGGAAGCTTTCATGACCGAAACGCTGAGAATGTCCTCTATTCTTCCATTGAGCGTACTACGCCGTACGACAGCTGATACCACATTAAACGGATATAAAATCCCTAAGGGAACAATTATTGTACCCAACCTATGGTCTTTGCATCACGATCCCACAATCTGGGTCAATCCATTCAAATTCCACTTGGAAAGGTACCTTAATGATGAAGGAAAGTTTGTGAACCCTCCGACTGGAACATTCTATCCATTTAGCGCCGGCCGCCGTGTTTGTATGGGAGAAGTATTTGCGAGGTCTGAGTTGTTTCTTTTCCTTGCTGGAATTCTCAAAAAGTTCAGGTTTGAAAATCCCCCGAATGCCGAGCTTCCGTCTCTTGATGGAGGAGAGGGCCTGGTGATGAGTTCCAAGCCTTTTCAAGTTTGTGTCATAAAAAGAGAGGAGTGAGATTAGTAGCTGCCTGGTAGCATGTAACAATGTAAGAACTGATATAAGTGTAAGCATACAACTCTGGATGAGTTGCTTGTGACTGTGGGATTTACTCAGTTACTGTAACAGAGCCGGAACTTTGATCAAAATGTAGGTTTTATTGGTGAAACACCAAAAGCTTCAATTTTCTTGGCAACTTTCAACTCTAAGCGCTATACAATGTTAATCTACCTTTTATAGTACATATGTTATTACAATGCATACATGACAATCTTGACAGGTTATATTGAAATATGTGGTTTCTTCTGTATGTACCGGAGTACAGATGACGTAATTCAATAGAAACAGAAGGTTAAAACAAAGAAGCAGAATCTAAACAATACCCCGAAATACAATGAAACCTAACCAGAATACAATAGATTCCGGTACTCACAGAAAGGCCCACATATGTTTGGTTTAGGCATGCATTTTGACGGACTTATACTAATAGCTTGTTTAAGTGAGACAGAGTCCAAAAATAATAAAAGTAATAATAATAAACTTTATTAATCACATCCTTAAGAAAGGTTTTTCAGAGATTATTTACAAATAAAGAAGAAAAATATACATATAAATATATTAAAGATAGATTAAAATTGTATATACATTGTACAATTATTTACAACAGGGACTCTTGGAAATCTTTTAAAAGATTGGYTTTGAGGTGTTGTTTAAAATGTTTGATGTTGGGTTCTTGTTTTAATGAAGGGCTTAGATTGTTCCAAATTTTTGTGCCTCTCTATGTAAAAGTTCTTTGACCTGCGGCCGTTTTGAATAGTGGGATCTGAGGTATACCCTGAGGTAGATCTAGGTTGAATTCAAGAATAAAAGACAGAAGGTATAGCTTTAATAGAGAACTAACTTTCTATTTCTTTCTTTGAACGGATGTTTAAATATAAATGTGGTTACAAGGCTTTTTAAAAACTACCGAAGGGCGTCTAGGTCATGTGTAGGCTTAATTTAGTGTAACATTGTAGTATTGTAAGTTGCATATGAAAACACCCAAAGAAGTTATATGGAAAATCCACATAATATTTACTATCGAAAAAAAATAATGGGAAGAACTGACAAAGTGAAACCTAAGTCGAATCTCTCACCAAATTTTAAAGAATTTGCAATCACGACTTTGAAATCGAAAGAGGACGATTTTCAAGGATGTACAATAAACCTGGGGAAAGGACAGTAAAAGTAAATGATTCTATTGACCTACTAAACTATACTACGTGGAGGACGAGAAACACTTCTTTTAGTCTACTGCCCCTTATATTCAAACCTGAGGGAAAAAATTGTTCACAAAATCGGAAAAGAAACTCCAATTATGAAAACGATTTGTTCCTGCTACTGATTAATCCCCCAAAAACATCACAAGTGGTAGTAGCATATTTTTACCATGCGATTAGAAATGAATCGTATCTTTAAAGGGGATAAAGATCAGGAGAGTCCGGTTGCAGAAAGGATGGATGAACTTATCGACCGGATCTGGTATCTTTTAGGGCGTTATCAAACGTTGATCCGATAATGTCTGAGTTGGTATCTTTCACGGTGCTTGTAGATATGAAAATGACGTACGACAAATCCTTCAAGCACAAGGTGTTTTAAAGTTCATGTCTCTCTACAATTTCATTGTACAGATTCAAAGTTGAAAAGAATAGTGACTGTCGGATATTTTGAAAGATACCAGTTATGTATTATTTAGGGATAAAGATAAGAACTCAGGTATCGTTGGTTATTTTTATACTATAGTCCTGATTTCGACCGGCGATAAACCCTGTGTCGCGATGCATTTACCATTTACCAATCTCGTCCCCAGTGTCCCCTCTTTAGCTATTTTCAAAATGGAGGACGATACAGCGAAGATCCTGGTAAAGGTTAAACTAAGGAGATTTGTGATTGGTTAATTGACCATATGAAAAACGAGCAGAATACTGGGAATTGAAAGGTCCTTGTCAGTAAAACATCTGTTTTCACCATGAGAAAAAGAATTTCTAAACTAGTACATTGGAGGAGTTTTAGTTTCAAATGTTGAATATTAGCAGAGTTACGAGCATTTGGATTTTACTAAAAACGTGAAAACGAGGCTGGTAAGGCCTCAATACTGATTTTCACTCAAACCTTTGCAATTTCAAACACCTGTAATTTCTGGTCCTCAAGTGTTAGAGCATTGAAACTTTCAGATATTATTCATCGTAATATGTTCTTTCAATGGGCAGTAATGATATATTAAACAACTTATCAACTAAGGCGTTACAATAGCCACGCCCTTTTTCATATGGTGTATAAGAAAGTGATTTGTATGCTACTTGTCATTGCCTGTAAAAGCATAACCGTTATTTTTATTGCTGCTTACGATAAGTTCAAAATATTATTCGAATTTTTAGGTACGTTTTTATTGATATTCAATTTTGGTTCATGAAATAGAAATAGGATCATGTTTTTATTATCCATGGTCTACAGAACGAACAGGCTTGTTAGATTACACAAAAAATCACACACAAAAAAAGCTCCGGTGTTTCTCTATTTTATTGTTCTATTTTAAAATTATTTGGTTATGAACTGTATTTCGTCATGAACTACTCATTCTAGAAGCCAGTTCTTACAAACTATACCCAGAGTACAAACATTAAATATGTGCAACACTTTCCACTGTTTACTACAAAATAGTGTTAGCTTAAACAATAGAAAACAATAGAATTAGCATAATTTAGTGGTATTTATGTTGCACAGTTTTAGTGCTTGCACTCTATTGCATTGAACTAATTTAGTTAAACATTTAATTTAGGTCCGCATTATGAAAAAAAAAGCAACAACCTCCCCCACCCCCCCTCCACCCATTTGTAAGGCAGCCGATGGGCCTGACTCTGTTTCGAATTCTCTTTTTTGCAGGTTTATCTTCAATCAAGCATAATTCTTTATAGTCTTCTTTGTAGACAGAGTGTTTGCATTATAATAGGATCTCTGTCGAATAAAAGCATTACATGCTCCGACGTCCCTGTGTCCGATTCAAATTTTCCCATTTCGTGCTGGAGGTCTCGTTACCAGTAGAAGGGGTGTCCTGTGTAAAATGGCGGGACGAGTATGGGCACGGACATCTCTATTTGGACCGCTTTTCCGGCCAAATACCATCCGAAAATGCACAAAGACTACAAAATATGATCCTCACGAATGTGTTATAGTTCGTCAAGCAGCTGCAGCGACAACAGTTCCTGCTCTATCACCATTCCCGTTAAAACTGGAGACATATCTAAGACTAGCTAACATTCCTTACAAAAATCGTTTTGGAGGAGCCTTTTCTTCCAAAGGAAAAATACCCTGGATTCAGTACAAGGACGATGTAATTGCAGACTCGAATTTTTGTATCAAGTATCTGAATGAAAGGTTTTCTGTTGATTTGGATGCAGATTTAAGCAGATCCGAGAAAGGAATTGCTCGAAGTATGTTGACTATGATTGAAGAAAATACCTACTGGTAAGATTGTACACAGATAGACCACAGTTTCTGAATTTATGACGCTGAAAATAAAGATTATTCTCTGCGAAAAAGGCTTTATCTTCCTCGCGAGAGAGATAAAGCAAGGACAATAAGAAGTCTTTGTTTTCATGGGTACAAAGTTCAAATTATACTCTCTTATTACATCGACTTGAGGTAAGAGAGAGATTTCTGTTTCTAGCATACGAATCCTTCACATGCAACAAACGCTTAATGCAACAGTCAATCACTAATCAAATTAAAGCTTTATCTGAAGGGATTGGCACTACTGATTATTGATTGATAGATGATTATTGATTAATAATCGGTAACTTTTCTCGGCGTGCTGTGTTGTATCATTGTTTTGTTCAGCTCACCCAGTTCAGTGTTTTGTCGACTACGTTTCGTTGCCATTTTGGTCAACTTCGTCAGGTCGTTTTTTCTTCTTCTCCCAGAAAACTTCTTCTTCTGACAAAGTTGACCAAAATGGCAACGAAACGTAGTCGGCAAAACACTGAACTGGGTGAGCTGAATAGCCCAAGTAGCCAAAACAATGAGATAATTATTGATTGATAGATAATTATTGATTGATAGTTAATTATTGATTAATAGATAATTATTGATTGATTAATAGGACAATGGTTTATTATCGCTGGATAGAAAATACTGAAGAAATAGTAGACCTTCTTTTCCAAGCTGCTTCCCCTCTAAAGAAACAAATCATAGCCTATGGTGGCAAACGCAGAGTCATGAAATACCTCCATGGTCATGGCATGGGACGACACTCAAGCGAAGAAATCTACCATATTGCATCATGTGACCTTGAGTCAATATCTGGATTGCTTTCGAATAAGCCATTCCTGATGGGTGAGAAGCCAACTGTTGTTGATACGGCTGCCTTTGGTTTTCTTGCAAACATTGTCTGGCACGATGTGAAGTCCCCACAACACTCTATGATTACAAGGAACTTTAAGAATCTAGAGGAGTATTGCATTCGCATAAAGGAACTTGTGTGGCCAGATTGGGATGAGGAGATAGAAAAGAGGAAAGCAATAGCTCTAAGGAAGAAGTAACTCACATAATCTTTGTAAGTGCATTTTATAATCACATAAAAACAAATGCTAATGTTTTGCTAGTTTTTCAAACTCAGAACATGTTAATATTAAATAAAATGTTACATAATATTCTTTCAAACATTTTAGAGCATTCAGACTTTTTGAAATATTATTTAATTAGATAATAATATAATAATTTATTACCATAATTTGTTTTAACCGAGGCAAGATAAATCTTATTGAGTTAAAAAAGGTCATTAGAACCTACTGGAATGCAGACTTAGATTTATCATACACTGAAAACAGCCCATATTGAGCTGACTTCACCCAATCTCATCCATGTGAACCTTACACTATACTGTAAATCCATACATACAGCATGGAGTAATAACAGAGTAGATTTTTTTGATGTATTTTAATAATTTTCAAAAGTTAAAAAAGATTGCTCTAGTAAAAGAGGCACTTATGGTGGTGTAATCAAGTGTACGTAATGAGAAGCTCAGCAAAACTGTAATAGGTTTTATATCACTCTAGTAATGCATGTAAATATTATATTATCCAAATTCAATTGACTTGGTAGCTGATTAGGTCTATTGGGCACATCTCAGTATTAGTCTTTTCTTTTTTGGAGTATAATTTCCAAGTTGAACTTTTATATATAAAGTTAATTAACTTTAATTTTTAATTTGCATTTTAATGCAATGCCTAAATCCTCTTTGTCAATCCGTTAACAAGACATTTAGTAAATCAGTTTGCACTCACTTTTCTGTTAATTTGACTCTCTGTGTCGTACAAACACAGTTCGCTATGCTAAGAAGTGCTTAAATTATGTAAACCCTAAATTTCAAGTCAGGTTTTGTTAATATTTGCTTTTGTCTCCTCAGAGGTCAGGAAGGACGGAAGAAACAAAAATGAAGAGAAGAAAAAGAGAAGATCAACATAAAAGGCAAAGAAATCTAATTATAATCAAGACAGTCGTAAAACAATTACTCTTTCAAAGCACAACACTAACTTATATCAATGATTATGGGTTATCTTTTTTGGGGAAAAATATAGGTATCCCAGAATCCTCTCTCTTTGCTCTGATAGCGTCATCTGTTCATCCTTGATGACAGTATGGTTATTCTGTAAGGAATCGATAGCCTTACGATAGAAACTGACTGATCCATTTTTTCTTCGTTGGAATACAGTCCCACCCCCACTGTTGTGATGTCACAGTAAACTTGAAAGGTATCTTGGCTATCAGGCTGTACTGTGTGCACACCATCACGTCTCATAGGCGGTTGAAGGTTGGAATACAGTCCCACCCCCACTGTTGTGATGTCACAGTAAACTTGAAAGGTATCTTGGCTATCAGGCTGTACTGTGTGCACACCATCACGTCTCATAGGCGGTTGAAGGTTGGAATACAGTCYCACCCCCACTGTTRTGATGTCACAGTAAACTTGAAAGGTATCTTGGCTATCAGGCTGTACTGTGTACACACCATCACGTCTCATAGGWCGTTGAAGGTCTCTTTTAGCACTAGCATTCAATATAAAATGAAGTCTCAAGGGCATTCAATACCCTTTGAACATGTGATCTTTGGTTTAAGAGGCAAATGGTAAACCATTCTTTGTGCATGTCATTTTTAAATCCTTTTGTAGACTGGCCCAATGGTTAAGTTCATTTGATGGCAAAAGTTGACGTCATTGGCTCTTTATTTACTTTAGCGTTTTACATCGATAGGTCTCTGACGGGGATTTATTCAGTTTCCTTTTCTTGTCAGCAGTGATTCTCTTAAGCATTTTCCTTACTTCACACTTCAACAGGTCGTGGATACCCACTACGAAAACAATACAAGATGATCTTCTGACTTTTTTTTTGTGTGTCCATTCTCGGCCTTTGTTCCGAGTATGAACTGCAGTTTTGTTTTCTCCCTGATGGTCATGACAAAGTGTTCTTTTATCTCAGGGTGTCATTTTTCTCCTGGTGGACCTCGAGGTCCCACAAAGCTTGAATTATTTTCTTAAAACGTATAGGTTGACAAAATGTCATCTTTGCATCTTTTTTAAAAATAGTTTAATAAAAACTCAGGGAGTAGGCTGAGAAATATCATTTAGGTTGACAAAATGTCATCTTTGCATCTTTTTTAAAAATAGTTTAATAAAAACTCAGGGAGTAGGCTGAGAAATATCATTTAGGTTGACAAAATGTCATCTTTGCATCTTTTTTAAAAATAGTTTAATAAAAACTCAGGGAGTAGCCTGAGAAATATCGCTTAGGTTGACAAAATGCATCTTTTTTAAAAATGGTTATAAAAAAACTCAGGGAGTAGCCTGAGAAATATCGCTTAGGTTGACAAAATGCATCTTTTTTAAAAATGGTTATAAAAAAACTCAGGGAGTAGCCTGAGAAATATCGCTTAGGTTGACAAAATGCATCTTTTTTAAAAATGGTTATAAAAAAACTCAGGGAGTAGCCTGAGAAATATCGCTTAGGTTGACAAAATGTCATCTTTGCATCTTTCTTTAAAAATAGTTAAATAAAAACTCAGGGTGTAGCCTGAGAAATATCATTTAGGTTGACAAAATGTCATCTTTGCATCTTTTTTAAAAATAGTTTAATAAAAACTCAGGGAGTAGGCTGAGAAATATCATTTAGGTTGACAAAATGTCATCTTTGCATCTTTTTTAAAAATAGTTTAATAAAAACTCAGGGAGTAGTCTGAGAATTATCGTTTAGGTTGACAAAATGCATCTTTTTAAAAACTAGTTTAATAAAAACTCAGGGAGTAGCCTGAGGAATAATGTCATCTTTGCATCTTTTTTAAAAATAGTCAAATAAAAACTCAGGGAGTATCCTGAGAAATATCGCTTATGTTGTCAAAATATCAACTTTTTCAAAAATAGTTAAATAAAAACTCAGTGAGTAGGCTGAGAAATATCGCTTAGGTTGACAAAATGTCATCTTTGCATCTTTTTTAAAAATAGTCAAATAAAAATTCAGGGAGTAGCCTGAGAAATATCACTTAAGTTGACAGAATGTCATCTTTGCATCTTTTTTTAAAGTTATTGATGAAAATTCAAGGGTTAGACTGAGGTCACAAAATGTCGGCTGTTCATGTTTTAATAGTTCTTAATGATATTAGTTAATAAATTAAGTGAACATGATTTTGTTACGAAAGGTTTTCTTAAATGCAAATTACTATCACAATTAACAATTTAATATACTACACTGATCTATATGCTAGATTATTTTCTTCATAAAATGTATAATACGTATTTTTTTCTATTCTGGTGCAAAGGCCTAATAAAAGTGTCTGCTGTTCATCTTTTCAAAATAGTAAAAGTAATATTAGTTAATAATTTAAGTGAGCATGATTTTGTTACGAAAAGTTTTCGTAAATGCAACTTTATTATTTTCTTTCATAAAATGTATATTACGTATTTATTCTCTTCTGGCGCAAAAGTCTAATAAAAATGTCTGTCTGTCTGTGTGCTCCCATTCATCTTGTAGCAACTAATCTATGATGTTCATTTCAGGCGCGTAGCGTGGACTTTTTGGCTAGTACGCACATGTCAGGGACCGCGACACATAGTTTAGGGCGGGAGTATGGATGCGATTTCCAGCGTTTTGAGAGACATCGAGGGCATATAAAAGGGATTAATTTTATGTGAATTTTCAGTAATTTTTGTGAATTTTTTTATATTTCCTTTCCACTAGTACGCACGTACGTACATGCGTAAGGGACGCTACGCGCCTGCATTTGAGTCAAACCAGTACGTTTAGTTGGTTGTTAGTGGATTACCTCAGAGTTATTTTCTGCATGGTTCAATGTAGTATCCTCTTTGGACCGAGATTCAATTAGCCTGGGGATAGGGGAAGGGGAGGCGGCGGGGGAAACGGAAGGTGAGGGGGTAGTAGAAAAGGGGTGAAATGCGCGCGTTCTTGTTTCATCGGTCTCCTCACCTATCGCCGGTCCCTAGAGCCGCTAGCTGCTTGATGGATGATTTTGGAGTTAAGGGGGAAAAAGTAACTGATTCCAGAGGTTTCCTAACCTTTTTAAAGGGCTACTTGGACGAAAATTGCGAAACATTAGAAAAGGCTTGGAAATCAAATAGACCTATCCATATGGGTGTAATAATCATGAAGCAACAGATTTCAAGAAAATATTCATGCAAATCCTTAATAATTTGGGCAAAAAATGTTGGAGTAGATGACGTCATCTACTCAATCCTTTTGTTCTTCCATCTTTTGAAACAAAATTTCTCTGATGTGGGATAATGCCAAGACAAATTTTTTCCCSSMAWTKKTTTTWAWTAGATATAAATGARTCATATATTTGTATTGCTTGAAGTTTTGAAATAAGGCCATTTTCATGCAAGTAGCACTTTAAACCTGCGTTTATTTCAAACGTACTGAAATACCATTAAAATGGTCGAATAAATGGTGGGATCTTTTGTGGATAATTAATTAGTACAAAAGGCCGATTAGTCCATATCACAAGCCCGCCATTTTGAATGGTTTTGCAATGTATCATGGGATATATATCMCTTTCTTCATCAAAACAAATCGCTAAAATCGTAAAAGCAAATTAATTTCGATTTTTCCACAGACAAAATATGTTTCTTTTCATTTTTTGCTTGATTTGCCTAGTAAATGGAAATTCTTGATAAACTGTACATTTTTTGGAGGTTTTTCTTGCTGTATTTCCTTGCATGTTGATATTTGTTTGTTTTTTCGCTTCTGAGATTAACTACAATTTCAATATTTCCCAATGTTTTTCGAAAACTGATGATGTAAAGTGAAATACAAGTGCTACAGTAGTACATTGTAATCAATTTGGAGTAAATCATGTTGTGGATGACTTCTGTGAACCAGGCTATATTTGGGAAGTAGTAAAGGTGTAATATTAGGGTGTATGAAGAGCACTGAGCAGTATTCTTATGTGTTTCTCTTTATATATTCAGATGTTTTACCTTTGAAAAATGCCTTATGTTGGAACTATATATCCTAGTCTTATAAGACAAATCAGTTAAAACTAACTTGAATCACATACTGATTTTCTTGAAAATGAACTCTAGTTTCCTGCCGCATACATGTTCAAACGCGCGTTAAAATCCCCGCTCTTTGCCCCGCTTCGAAAACAATTCATCAAAATTCCGACCCCCCGGGGCAATCTTGCTGTAAAACCACGTTAAAAACGCATCACGTCCCCGTTCAGTGCACCGCTAGCCCCAGGTATCGGGGGTCGGGGGTTTCAATTGACTAGTGCATAAATTGAATTGATACAAATGAAGCATTCAAAATCTATCGATTTTGTACGTCGTGTAATAAATTAATAAAGTTGAATGGAGAAAATAATACGAACCAACAACGAGCAAGCAAAAAAAAAAAATTAAAAAAAAAATCGAATAAAATTAGTATAGAATGGAATAGAAAAGTAAAATTCCTGGTTTCAGAGGATTCTTATATATATAAACACAGAGAAGAGAAAGATACAGAGAAGCTTCCATAGAAAACAAAACAGATGCATGTTTTGGGCTTCCTGTGTGATGTCAGTCAAGTCGCATCCAAGAACTCCATTTCCAAGAATACGCTTTTAATTAGAAGACGTTTGATTAATATCAAAACCAAAGAACTATACGTATTTTGAGATGAAAGAAGGCAATATTTTGGTACAGATAGCTGTTTGTTGTGGTAAACGGCAGTTATGCCGAGTGGAGTGGGAAGCCCACATAATAATATAAAAATTAGGTAACACCTAATAGCGGAGCTCCAATAGCAATATAGAAGCTGAAAATGATTATCTAGTACTGCCATTTCAAAGGTAGATGCTTTGTTCTAAGGAATGTGAGCTACAACAGTTTTGTTGACATGCGAACAAATATTATAAAGAGTATGTTTATGAGAATTTAGTTCGTACTAATATTGACTTCGGTAGACTTTGTTCCGTTGGATGAAGTTTAAAATTATAATCTATTAAGGTCAATTAATTAAAAGTAAACTGAAAGCTTCTCGGCAAAAGTAGTCTACATAAGCTTACAATAATCAACAATGTTTCAATAATCGATATATTGAACCCGGACTACTCGAACTTCACATAATCACAGAAAACTGTATACAAAAATATATTTTTTACCTTCATTATCGAACTTCCGATAAATTATCGTTCAAAGGTCATCTTCAACAGAGCCATACTTGTTTCAAGCATAGGTTTCATCAATTTATTAAGTCATTCAAGACTGTAGATTCTTTGTTTTTATTAATCTCTCTCAATCTAACTGCTAGATGGTCTTGGTTTCGAAATCTCCACACTTTTAGTCGACAAAGCAACTTCGCATAGATCCCTGCTTTTTCCCATATTGGTCCATATTATTGAAGTATTTCCAATAAAGTATCATCTCTTTTTGTTTTCGAAATATCAAAGTAAAATCCTTTTTTCTAATATCACTTTTAAGATGGGCCTAAATTGCTTTTCATCTTCGCAAATCGATTTCCCGGATTAGATGTGCGGACGCGTCGAAGTTATGACAAAATTGGCGGGAATATTTCTGTGTTGTTATTTCGCTCTTCAGTGGATTTTTTCCTTGTTATTAATTGTTCTAATATTATTAATATGTAATATAAATGTTTAAGGTAAAAATTTCGATCTTTCAACAAATACTTGGCGCTTTCTTTCCTTTTCGAGCGGAGTATGGGTTTCCTGTGGTGGTACACGGAATCCAGGACGGAAGGACGGACGGAAACGTGCGTACGTGCGGGAACCCTGTGTCGGTCCATGGAAAATCGACTCGATGGTATACCAGTTTTTCTTAGCTATGGTGCTCCGCTATAATATAGACCACAGAACAGTATACTGCTTTACTGGATAAACCCAGGTCAAAATGACATGTATCCCACTCTAGGGAATGCGTATTTCAATAATGGAGTTGCCCTGGTCACAGGTTAATGTTTTTAAAGTTTCAATAGCCCATGTATGGCCATAATGCGGGCCCGTTGGGACAAGACGTTTATTTAGGGGCGATCCATTCGACTTTTGAGGGGGGTGGGGAAGGAAGATGTACTTAGTGCAGGAATTTATTTCGACTTCAGGCGCGCTTGTAATATTTTTTCGGTAAACTTTCAAAAGCTTTAGTGGATATTTTTCAAAATTTTGCAATGCAGGAAATTGTTTTCAAAATCTTCCGTCCTCCCCCTCAAAAGTCTAATTGATCGCCACATGGCCGATTTAGACGGTACAACTTTTGCCCACAACCATCGCAAGCAACCCGCGTAAGTCGTCCTTACAACTTGGCTACAACTGTCGTAGGGCTATTAAGCAATTGTTTTAAATCCCTACGACAGTTGTAGCCAAGTTCAAGGACGACTTACGCGGGTTACATGCGGTGGTTGTAGGCAAAAGTTGTGCCGTCTAATAAATCGGCCTTTACCGGTAGCCACAATCACTCAACTGGAACAGTTATAACAATGTTTGTTTTGTATTCTATTCCCCTTGTGCATTTATTGCGTACTTAAAAAGACTGTTCCATTTGAGTGATGGCTGACTGTGTCACTAAATAAGAGCTATAAGACAGTTTATGAGCATTTTGTACTCTAGTGGTAAACTTTGTTCATATTGTGATCTTTTTTATGTTTCAGTGATTTTGAGTTTGAAGTGTTTGACAGCACAAGGTAAATTATGTTGTGTTCTGTTAACTCAGACATAATCCATAATTGCAAACAGAATCGCCTTTTCAGATGCTTTTTTTAGATTCTATTTAAGATCTGACCAATGTATATAGCCAAACAGTAAACTGATACATGCTTACGACATAAACCAGAAGTAGCTTATGGATTGAAAAATATTCTTATTGAATTAAACAAGAAGTAAGAAAATGTCCTTTTCGTACAGACAAGCAATTTTTCTTGGTTTGACCGTGAACGAATTTTAAAACTACAGGAGCATCATTCCGTAATGCAAGATCTAAGAGCTCTACGGAACTAAGCAAATTCACATCTTGTCTTAAAAAGACAACAACGCTGATAACACCATCACTTGGAGCATCATAGCACCCCCATAGCACGCGCCAAGCATATAACATCGGTAGCAAGTGAAGCAACTTATGTTTGCTTGAAAAATACATTATCTACACCTGCCATCGAAAAATGTGCTCATTAAACAGAACGCAACGAACTCACATCGTGCAGGCACAGCAGAAAAGCATTGCTCTGTAACAATTAACTCTACTAATTGAACAACTATATGTTCACTGATATGTTAATAGCCCTTCACATGCTATATAATTCATTGTAGTCTCCGCTTGAATGTTAATAATTAAATATCCTGAAGAGTGTCTCGCTTTGATGCAAAAGGTTACTGCCTTTCAAGATGGCGCTTGAAACTGTAAAATGGAGTATTATAGGTTGAAATTTAAGTTTTGTAACAGCTAGTTTACCCAGTAAACTTATGTAGGTTGTAAATGAACTGATGACTTTCAAGAAGCCTGTGTGTTAATAAGCTCTCTAGTTGTACATCTTAGAGTGCCTTTATTCAAACTGAAAAATGCGCCAAATCCGTCGAGAAAATCAGGGAGAGATGTATTTTTAGGTAGCTTTTTTTGACCGGGGCTGTAAACAAACTGGCAAAGTCATTTAAACGTTTTGTAAAATGCAATTTTACCAGTTCTCCAAGCTTTAGAATGTAAGTGAAGCCAATGTTTTAGCAATGTTTATACCCTTTCGTAAGAGTTCAATATAATATGACGTTTGGCGACGCATTCAATTTTTTTAATTCTTCTTCTCTTCTCGGCTATGATAGTTTTACGTAGATTTGAAGTTTGTATATCGATAACATTCAGAAATAGCGCCCCCTCTAGAACTGTGAAAAAAAACCCTCTTGAACCTTCACCATCTAAAATCCTAAAAGCTTTTTAGTGTAGTTTTCTATGCCCCCTGATTTTCTCGACGGTTGCTTTGGCGCGCTTTTACTAATTTATGTGGCGTCATCTAAATAGTCATTTAGTTAACTAACTATCGCACAGTTTGACTAAAAGCATTCTAAATTATCTCAGTTTTCACTTGAATTGTTTCTTAATTTTTGACTTAATTCGAATGGTGTTCAGGAAGCAAGTTGTGTCAGTTGTGTGAAATATTTACCTGTGTGCATACTAAAATCAGAAATCACGACTAAATGGCTAGTCTCCTTCGCAGCCTCCCCTTTTGTCGGGCTTCCTGTCAGGAAGCCCGACAAAAGGGGAGGCTGCGAAGGAGACTTCTAAATGGCAAAGTAAGTGTAAAAAAATATTATTGTAATCTAAATCTTGTAATTGTTTTAACCCTCCAGGCCAGTGTTCTGGTCTATTGGATCTCAATGCTTACTCAAGTACTGAACACTTCATACAAAGCCCAGGATACCCATCAGACTATCCAAAGAGTTCCTACTGTAGATGGAGATTAACAGCACCAATGGACTACCATGTACAACTGACATTTCTTGAATTTAATACTCATTCAGGTCTTCATTTTGGAGCTTGCTATTTCTTCATCAGTGATATCCTGGAGGTGTATGACTCATCATATGAATCCAGCAGCAAGCGAATTGGAAGATACTGTGGTTCTGATTTGCCAGCAACTGTCGGATCGTCTTCTAGATACCTGTATATCAGGTTCAGAACTTATCATACAAGTTCTGTGGTATCAAACTATAGATTTAAAATGAAATATAAAGCAGTGAAAGCTCCAAGTAAGTATGTATATTGTAGTGTTAGTGCGATAAAGTAGCCTTTTTGGGGTTGTATCGTAGGATCTTTGTTTTCAAAATTTTTCTTTTTCATAGAGTCAGGGTTTCAAAAGGTGTTTTGTGACAATGAGCCTAAACAGTCTTTATAAAAATGTTCAAAACCGAAACGCAAAACCTATGGTATACAAGAAGATCAAGGTTTTTATAGAGAGCTTATTATATAGTTTCACGTTTTTTTCAATATTGTGCACTGATTTGGTGCTTGTATTTTCACTTTTTTAGAGATGTAAGCTTTCAAATTGTTGCGTATGTGCAATCAGTGATACAATTAGCCTATACTTTCTCTCTTAAAATCGGAGTTTTTAAAACTGGCATATCGTAAAAACTATTTTATCTAGAAGGCCCAAATTTTCAAAAAAGCTTATTATGCCATGTTCGTTTGATATTCAGTGGTTATTTGGGTTAAAAGGGAAATGTCTATGCTAATGAGTAAAAATGTAAGCATGCATTGACGCCAGCAAAGATTCAATCGAATATCTGTCGTTTTCAACCATTCATAAAGATAAAAGACAGGCGGCCATGTTGGAGGAACAAGCGATAGAAACTAATGAGAAATCCTTTGTTGAAGTTCCTCCAAGATGGCCGCTGTGACGTAACCTGAAAACGAAGAATGGTGTGATATGGTTCTATGGTGTATTTGAAGTGATCAATGTCCAATGTCCAATGATTTTTGTTTGCAGGTCAAGATGATTCCACGTGTTCTCCATTTTTTCTATCTTCAATCAACTCCAATATCAAAGCGTCATCATCTCTCTACACTTCAAAATACATTGAAAGTCCTTTGTATCCCAACAAATACCCAAGCAAGATCAAGTGTGTTTGGTATATAACAGCATCAACAAGTGCAAACAAAATTCAGCTGACTTTATCAGAAGTGAAGATATACAGTGACATACCCTATTATTGCAGCTCAGCCGGTTCAGACGATGTTCTTACCCTACGGGATGGTAAAACTACCAATAGCAGTATGCTGAAAACAATTTGTGGTCCACAATCTTCACCACAAACAATAACATCATCAGGACGATCCATGACAATTATATTCACTAGCAATCAGAAAAACTACAAAAATGGATCTACAACACGATTCAAGTTGCAGTATCGGGAAATAGATCCTGAAGCAGGTAAAGCTTACTGTAAATCTTTTGTTGTCCATTTCTGACACATTTAACCAACTAAACTAATCAATCTATTTTTACGTTAAGTGAATATGTGAGTTGTTTTAAACTGAGGACTACTTGGCCAGAATTGTTGGTTGTTACCCTGCATTTTGCTAAGAAAATAAACCTTAATTTTACAACCACGCCTAAAAAGTATTATATCAAGATTTTTATCGTACTTCTCCTCATTCCTTGGTGCTAAATGATTAAAGTGTCAATGGATGACATGCGCAGTAACAGTCTCACCTCTAACGGACTTTGAAAGTATTACCTTCGAGGTAAATCATTTTGTGGTGCTTTTGACACACTTTGGAATATTCTAGATCTGTTTACGTTTACGAGCTGATTTATGTCGCGACAACTTGGAGTCATAAACTTGAAAACACCAGCCTAATGTTTTCAAGTTTACTCGCGCCTGCGTGCCATTGACAGTGTCCCTTTAACAATACTAAATGAATTTGTTAGTAGACAACGCCTTAAATATGAGAATGATATATAAATATATATTGTTGCAGCGAGATGACTCATCGTCTTTTCAGTGTCTTTTTTATATTGCTTGCATTTGAATTTTTGTCTCTTATTATTTCAAAAAAATAATTAATTTTTCTCCTCAACACTTCCTTTTTGAGAAGCAAATTATTCTATTTACTGAATAAGGTGATAAATAATAAGGCTGTGGATACCGCGTATTTTAAAGCGATATATAACTAAAGTCAAAATTACACAGCTATATTTTCATGTGATATACTTACGCTGGGTCGACCACTACCGTCAGGACGAAGCTTGTGATTGCTCGACACAAATTATGTCAGACAATGCCTATTGTTCTACTGGACATCTCGTTTTTTGTATTTCCTGCCTCTAAATGTCGGTGCACATCCGATAAAACCGGACCAGAGGGTGTCAATGGGGGTACCCAAAAGTCAGTTAACTACTAATCTTTGGGTCAAAAGTCAATTAACTACTATATTTTTGAAAAGTCAGTTAACTATTAATGTTAGATAGGAACTTTTGGTTTGTATCTAATGTCATTTGCATTATAAATTGCATTTATAATGCTAACATCACCAATAAGCTGATTTGTGCAATCATTTTATGTATATGGGTTGCAATAAGTTACTTGCAGCATTTACGTAAGAATACAATGACAAATATCTGATAAGTTTTTACTGATTTTAAACATAGTATATTAACTATGATAGAAACCAACGATGACCTTGACAAAGCCAGCCATTGTCTGGTCAACAAGTTCAATGCTCGAGAGGATAGCCTGGGTGCTCGTGAAACGTGATCTGTGCATCGGAGCTTGACTACTCAATCAGTGACCAGTTAGAAGACCCAAAAAACTGTTGGATAGTAGATTTTTATAAAGACGCAATTACAGGCGCGTAGCGTGGACGTTGCTAATATACGCATATGGCCGGTACCGCGACACATACATCTTATTTTGGATTGGGGGCTAACGACCTCCGAAGGTGGGAGTATTAAGGGGATCGGGGGGTCCTCCCCCAGGAAATTTTGAAATAATTACTATCGGAAATGCGATTTTCAGCGTTTTGAGGGACATCGAGAGCATATAAATGCATCAAATCGAAAATCGAAATCGAACCGAAAATTTTAATATTTTTTCACACTAGTACGCACATGCGTATATGYGTAAAGGACTCTACGCGCCTGTATTAAATGTTAGTAAGAAAGTCAGTTAAATATACGATTTTCATTAGTCAGTGAACTACTATTTTTAAGCCAAAAGTCAGTTAACTATTAACCCCATTGACACCCTCTGGCCAATATTAGCCTTTATTATTAGTAATTATCAACTTTTAGTATATAAAGTCGGAGTGTTTTTTTTCCAAATCCCATGAAATACACAACAGCGTATTACAACTTATAACACTTATTTATTAGCGTCTTGTTATGATGATTTCCTTATGGATTCAGCTCGAAATCCAGTTCGTTTTTAAAAATCCGGCCGATTCGTGGATAATCGACAAAATAAATCTAAAATGACGATTCATGTCATTTCTTAAAAAAATATGGAGATAGATGAGCGGACCTTCAGCTTCTCTGGGAGGGTACACGTGCAGCCAGTGCACACCCTGGTTACGGTCCTGAATGATTATTTTTAATGAATGCTTTAGCGCTCATTTGATTTTGTTTATCATTAAATTATAAAGATTGTTGTTTGCAATGTTTTGCAGGGGGATCTCTATGCTCATCTTCAAACTCAAATTATACTAACAACAACATCAGGCTAGAGTCATCCCCTTATACCAAATACATCAAGAGTCCTTGGTATCCCTACAACTATCCAAGGAACATACAATGTACCTGGTACATCACTGCATCTTCAAGCTCCAAGAGAATTGTGTTGATTTTATCCGATGTCAAGATATATAATGAGGTGAAGTATTTCTATTCATGCCATTTCTACTCTGACAAAGTGGATATGCTGACAATAACTGATGGATCAAGTACTAAAAGTCAGAATCTGAAATCGGTTTGTAGTAGTGTTTCATCTTCAACAGTTCGCTCTACTGGAAAATACATGACAATAAAGTTCAAGACTAATTCTGATGACTACTTTGTAACCAATAATGCAGGATTCAAGTTAAAGTACTATGAGACTGAGATAAAGCACTATGAGCCTAAACCTGAGTCGGCTTCAAGTGAGTTTTTTACCACAATTGTAAATGTTCTTGATATCTTGTTGGTCGAGCTGTGTGGTAAATAAAACTACATACCGCGATCTCAACATTGTCCTTTTTTATGGGATTTCTTACAAACTGTAGAATATTTTTGTCGTAGATGAACAACAACTTTGAAATTCGATCACGCAAACCGTGGTAAATAGCAGGACATACCACGAGGAACTATCATAAGTTTGTTAAACCGCATACATGTATTTTACATTATGAATTGAATCTTAGGGCAGCCTAAGGCAGATAATATTGTTCATATTTTTCCTGTGGGATGTTAAATCTTATCAAGCTCATCATTATGTACTAAAATGCAAGGATAGTCTAAGAATTAAAAAAAATATTATAACTGAAATGTTATTGACTAACAAGTCATCTCCGATTTGTATTGATGTAGTTTTCTTTTTCTTCCAGATGTTGGTATGATCGTTGGCATAGTGTTTGGTGTGATTTTTGGTCTTGGTCTTCTATTAGTTTGCTGTGTTTGGGTGCGTAAACGACAAAGTAATGCAGGCAATGTACAGAGAGTTCCTGCAGCTGCAACAACACATTTGACAACTATGACAGCAAGTCATGCACCAATCGCTCCTGGTGCACCACAGTACCCTATGCAGACACAAGGTGGACCTCCTGCACAGGGTAGCTTTGTTGTACCTGCTGGAAGCTATCCACCTCCAGGCCAATCAAGCTACCCATCTGATAAAGGTAGCTACCCACCACCTCACGGCACCTTCGCACTACCAGGTCACAGTCACCCATTACCAATTCAAGGTACATACTCCCCACCTGGAGGCTACTCACCTTACCCTCAAGTGAGCTATATTCCACCAGTTAATGGTCCTGTTTCAGGTGATCCACCTCCACAATATCCAGGGATAAATGCTGATTCATCACAGGCACCTCCTGCCTTCAACCCCAGTTTCATGGACCACCTCAAGCCAGTCCACCATATTTGACAGGTGGTTCTGGATATCCTTTGCAACCTGGCACACAACAAAACTAGCAGCCCGTCGTAGGTTTAGCACTATGGATAGTATGATCCAGGAACTTCAAATCAGTCAAATAACGATACCCAATAGAACTTGTGATTCCAGACACAAGACAACTAAACTAGTGGCCTCACAAAAGTCATGGTTGATTGAGATCGTAGTGTTTGGAATCACCTAGTACGTATACATAAAGTCAATTGAAAAAGGTTGTGGATTGAGGTATATAATGATATCATATATAACGACATTGATAAAACGCCTAATGACATGCAGAATTACATCCAAAGGCTTCATCTACCTAGATTCATATTGTATACTTTTCCTCGTATCGCTCACTTTTTTTGCTTTTTTTTTCCTTGTAAAGCTATAAATTTTTTATATTTTTTATACTAGTCTTCATTTTTTATCGTCCTCGACTTGAATAGTCCCAGACTAACTGCGAGGTCTGAATCAACTGTAATTGCTGCTTATTGAGGTCTTAATAAATAGTTGTGTCGATTTATGACAAAATACTACTACAGACAATAGGAACAGCACCTTACCGATGAAATCCAATGTGCAGAAATGCCAAAAAATATTATGTTTAAATGATTTTGAATATAGAGAAAAGCACAGTTGCCATATTCTTGCACATCCTTTCGAAATGCATCCATTTTTTATTGAAGTGATTTCTGTTGGTCAGTTTTGTAGAAATATAAATGTACAACGTACTCAGAAGACTTTCGTGGGTTTTGGGTTGCCTTGAAATTTCATTTAGACATTTTTTAATTGATATATTATGAAACTCATTATAATATGTCTATATTCAGGAGGGGATCCAGGGGAGGTGCTTTGGGTGCGGACGCATCTCCTCTTTTTTGACGACGCGTTTTTTAAATATATATCAGTATAGACGTTTTTTTTCTGCTGTTTAAACTCCTGTTGTACTTTCATCGAGAAAAAGAGTAGCATACACAACATGTGTCTGCCACTATGCTGCTTAACAATCTATTTTAGTAGTGTAGTCAAAGATACGTTGCAATAAAAGTCAATTTACTTCTGTTCAAATTGTGCATAATTTTCTTGTTCTAGACAATAATGATCAGTTCCATATATTACTGAAAAAAGCACCCTGATATTTACTTATCTTAATCCACAACCTTTTTACAATTAACTGTATGTTAATTCAACCTTGTAGTCATGTGTTGATATAAGTCGGGTGTTAGATTAAATGGAGTGCATGTTGACTCTGGGCAACCTGTACATAATGTAGAAAATACAAACAACTTAACCAAAAAGACTCTTACAAAAATCTCTTGGTGTGAGCTAGATTATTAAGTCTCCCTGACGGAACCTCTTGTAGTCCCATTGATTGAATAGTGTAATAGGTAATAAACATAGTGATTGCAGCTGAATATATATCAAGTATATTATCGTATGAGGAAGTGGCTGATCCCAATTAAAGAGTGCTCAATACACATAAAGTGTAGAGCTAGTTATATATATGATATCAAAGAGGCAAGATTTTGCTGTAACTCCGAGTTTCGTGCTACGCACTCATCAGACAGTATTTAATAAGTATATTATCAAGTTATGTTTCATGATTAGTTTTAAAAAGCCTTTTTTTCTTAAAAGACATCACATTCAATTGTCAGTTCGAATAGTGATTTTATTTTATTTTTTCGTAATGGCAATCATTATTTGAGCATCTATTCAAATGCCTACCTGCTTACTCTTAATATTTTTCTCTGTTGCCATTCAAGCTGATATTATAAATGCATAAACAACTATTTTTGTATTGTTGATTGAAAGAGAAAGAACAGAAGAGCATGAACCAAATTTATATTGAATGCATAGTAGTATAAAACTGGTAGTTTAAGTAATACAAAATAAAAACATTGAATAAAAACAAGTTCAAATAGACCTGGATACTTCATGGAGGATGGGTAAATTTGGAATGGGATCATGGACTGGTGAGAAGTAGGGAGGGAGAGGATCGACTGATGGATAATTTTTTGATCATATTAAGTAGATGAAGTGGCAGTTTGGGTAATTGTCTTGGCCTGGCGTTGTATGAACCCCTGGTAGTGGGTGGATGTCATCACTTATAACTGCCCACCTGTTGCTGGCTTCACTAATAGATGAGTAGTGTCATGGTCTAGCTGGTTGTCATGGCCTAGCTGGTTGTCATGGCCTAGCTGGTTGTCATGGCCTAGCTGGTGGTGAGTAGCCGTCTGGTGGTGGATAGCTGCCTTGCTCTTGCAGTGGGTGGCTGCTTTGCCCTGGTGGTTGATAGCTTTAGCTTGAACTGGGATGGGTAGCTGGATTTGGAGATGGATTTTTCTATTTCAAATGAAATAAGCCGAAATGCGACTATTTCCACGAAAAAATTATTAATCATAAATTCATATTACACAAAAAAATCCAAAAAGTGTTAAACATAGCAGGCATTGAGAACATAGTAGTGACATTGCTGCAGTCCGTGTATGACATCGGAGTTTACGAATTTTCATTAAGTTTGTAGCGTATTCATATTATTATTTGACCCTAAGCAAAATTATAGTATTTTAAAATCGATATCTTATATAATTACTTTAAAATGTCAGATACACACCATGTCCGTACGAATAGCAAACATAACTCGGCCACTCTGTTTAAAAATTGATTCTCGGTTGCTCAATCGCCGCGCTGTGAAAACTTATTATACGTTTAATGAAAACAAGCCAATGAAAGCGCGCTTTAAAATGTCACATTAAAGAAAATATATAGAAGTAATTACTAAATGATTCTGCAGATTTTGTAATTAAACATTAATGCATAGGAAGCTAATTCAAAGACAACAACAAAAATCAAAAAAAAAAAAAAAAAAAAAAAAGAAAAAAGAAAAAACTTGAGTATTGGGATTCGAACCCATGACCATAAAATCGAAAAAAGGTTGGGACGATTCCCCCGAGACATTCTGTGAAGCTGAGGCGGCGAATCGATTTACATTCCGGTTAGAGATTTCGGCTCTTCCATGCTATCCCGATAATTGGTCCTAACTTCTCGCTAACTAAAAAGCCAGTGAGGGAGAAGCTATCCGGCCCCTAGACACTGATGGATAACCCCTTGCACTAACTAGGCAACTATCGAAAGTATAATGTCAAATTGGGGTAGTCTATTCGGTGAAAGTGTCAAGTGGTCTATTATTATGTAAATGAGAGTGATCCAGTGACGCACCGCGTTAAGGCGCCGCTTGCAAATCCAATGTAGGTTTGAYGGTAGMGGGATCGATTCCCTGGAGGAGACGTTTAATGATTTTGTTTTTTCCTTTTTATTTTTTTTATTGTTTATCTTTTTTATTTATTTATTTATTTTTGTATAATTATTGTCATCTCTTGTGTTTCACTTTCCCGCGAGAACCGTCTTTTTTTAACGAAGTGGATATATGATCGGCTCCCGCTCAAAGTCTTCGATGTACTAACATACTAAATGAGTGCTAGTTTTGTTTTGGCAAAAAAAATCTTTTACATCTTTATTAGCAATCTAAAAAAAAGATGTCGATTCATATTATAACGTTCTATTTCGAGCAGCTTTAGCTTCTTGTCGCACTTAGAGTGACGAAGGCTCCCGCTCAATTAAGGTCTTCGATGCACTAAATGAGCGGGAGTTTTAGAATGTACAAAACAAATCCCAAAAATACTATCTAAGAATTAAAAAATCTTTTATAACTTTATTAACAATCTAAAAAAAGATGTCGATTCAATATTGTAACGTTCTATTTCGAGCAGCTTTAGTTTCTTGCCACGTACACTTAGCGTGACGCAGGCTCCCGCTCAATTAAGGTCTTCGATGCACTAAATGAGCTACTCTGCGAATAGAGCATTTACAAAAAAATTTACAAAAAAAAAATTACAAGCGCGCGCCTGCATCGGAGTTGACTGTCCTTCTGAGGGACAAAACGGAATCACGGCTCACGCTAYMAAAAWATATTCACGCCKCAYGSMTAATTTTTTCGCATTTTCACGACTAACGGCTAATTTTTCAGCCGTTTCACGGCTCACGGTTAACCCCATTGAGACCCTCTTAAACGTTACAGAGGGAGGGTGATACATAGACAAGTGGGATTGTTCGTGAGGGCAGTTGCAAGATGTACACAAAATGACAAAGTTCCACCACATTCCGAGGAGCTAGCCAAAAAATTCACATGCCAATCAATGGGCGCATTCCATTCAGTCAGAAACGATCGGCCAGACCGGTCTATTTGAAGTAATCCATAAATTTTATCGAGATTTTTCATTAATTTTCCACTCAAGTTTCCACTCAAACTGCTGCATAAAATTTAGAAATGGATTCCTCTGCCTGAATAGACATGATTAATATTGGAATTTCCTTTTCAGTCTGGTCAGTCAGTTCTGACAAATGGAAAACATCCTATGATCTACTGCAGAGAAAGAAGAATAGCATTAATTATTGAGAAAATGAATAACTGGCTAATGCAGCTTGTTTAGATATTCTTTATTGACCACTATTCCTATCCGTGAGCTATCAGTCAATACACTTAGTGTATAATTATGTAACTTTTCTTTAGGGATCCATATTTTGTTTAATAGACCGAAGTTTTTAAAACCGCGAAACAAAGCTTTACTATTAAAGTTCGATAGTCAAATAGGCACAAAGAACATAAGAATGCAGTTAGAATGTACTAAGGTGTATAAATGTAATATCTATTTCACGGGTTTTTCACTTTAATGTACAATAGAAACAGTTACGTATGACTTACAATATTCTCTAAATTTTACGAATGATAATATTAATATTTAACATTATCCCATCACGTCTCAATATGATTTGTTATGATTTGTAAAAATACACAATATATTCTACAATCTTTACCCAAACTGGTCTGTCAAATGTGGGGCTTGGCCACGGCAAGGGCCAATATTTCTATAACCCTATAATATTGATTTAAAAATAGGGTTCAAACATTTTAAAAATAGTGTACCAACAATTATGTTAAAGATTGTAGTTTTTTTTATTGCTGTGATTATATATATGATTTGATTTGTGTTACAACAACATAAAGCCCTTGGAACTTTTCAAGCTAAGGGTGATTTATTCCATGACTTCCTTTGTATTTATTAATCAAAAAGGGTTGACGAATAATGGGAGTAAGTGTCAGAGGGTATACATTAACCCCCTGAAACACAAATTATTGGAAAATCAACAATAAGGAGAGGTATACAAACCCCCTCCTTATTTGTATAAGAGGCCGTTGATTGGTGGTAAGAAAAATAAGGCGTAAATGGGAAATGTCTCGCAGATTTTGTTCTGAGTCATACCTTCATATTGTACAAACCATTTTGCTTTTAAACTAAACAAAATGGGATATTTCAATTCTTATGATTATGACATTCTAAACGGTTTTAGAAGGTTAGGACCAGTCATCATTTATCGCCTGGAATTAGGTGATTTTTATGATCGTACAATCAATAGTAGGTTATAACTAGATATTGCAAAGGGTCATCGTCTAGAATTAAACAATGAATTACCTTATGACGTATAACAAATCTAATATCGCATGGAATGATTTCTAGATCTGTTTAGGGAAGATCCATCAGTGATCGAAAAACACTTGTTCGAAAATGTTATAACGAAGCTTGGACTGAAAGGGAGCATGGAAAGGTACAAAATTAGTACCAACATCGTGCGTCTAGTAATATTTCCGTTCCCTAACAATTTATGCACTGAATAAACATCGCCTTCTCCACGAGAGATGAGTTGATAATGTACGTCTTTAGGCAAAAAGTCCAAGTACCTAAAATCCCCTTCGGTCTTAGCTTCGATGATTTCACCTTTTTGAGCCCGACAAGAATTTAATTAGTTGTATCTGTTTTTGCTGAAGGTAATAACTTTTCTTTACAGTTGTTGAGTTTAAGTCAAGTCAATTCTAATGAGTGAGTATGGACACAGTATGAGAACCGCTGTCCAACTGAAACATCGGCTCAAACATCAGTACCACCCTCGTCAACTTTTGTAAGCATTTGATTTCCATTGGTCAAATAACTTTTAGGCTTATGTTTTGTCAAATATGCTGTTATATGAGATACGGACGGTCTACCTTCGGTATTATGCCACGCAGAATCGGTGGAAAAGTCTGTATCTCTTTGAATTTTCTTCCTACATCGTAAAAACAGCCTACGAAAGGCCCTTCTGTATGTCCGGTTAAGGCATGTGTATATGATAGGGTTAAGACAGCTGTTTAAATACTCTAACCACTTCGTGACGTAGAAAACATCATTGGGAACTGGAAACGAGAAGCCATAATTTGCAAAGAGTACTACAACGATGAAAAACGGTAACCAACAACATGTGAATACTCCGATTACGACTGCGATTGTTTTTGCTGCTTTGATGTCGTTGGCGTAGTTCTTGCCGATACGACGTGCTTGGTACCTTGCAATCAAGTAAATCCTAACGTACATGATCAGCATGACTGCCAACGGTAGAAAGAAGCTAAAAGTAGCCACGAAATGAAGATAAACAGGAAAAGGCCAATTAGGTCCTTTCAATTGACGAACAGAAGCCATTCCTATTGCGTACAGCCATACAAAACATATCAACAAGACCGCGCGCTTTTTGGTCAGCGTTTTAGTGTATGAAAATGGCGACGTGATGGCAAGTTGACGGTCAAAGCTGACAGCGGTTAAGTTCATGATAGATGCAGTACCGCACAAAATGTCCATACAATCCCAGAAATTCTTCAAATGGGAGTCTAGTTTCCACATGCCGTTGTGAAGCTGGGTCACGAACCAGAAAGGCATGGCGAATAAAGCCACCATGATATCCGACACACTTAATGAAATGATAAAGAAATTACAAATGGTTCTCAAATCATGGAACGTGCAGAAACTAGCAACAACAATAAAGTTTCCTCCCAGTGTAAGAATAATTAATACACCAGTGAATACAGCTGCGACTATGCTTGTGGCTGTTGGCTGAATCTTATTCGTAACTTCAAATAAACTCTTCGTTGTTGCATTTGTCCTGTTAAACAGTGTATCTACTACCGTTGGGTATATGTCTGTCGTATACCGAAAACTTCCTGTTGAGTAAGTGATGTTTACCAAAGCATTTAATGTGGTGGGAAGAATAGTGGTGATGTTTTCATCTGCTGCGAGGCTTGTTGTGTTTACAAGGCCATTTAATCCTGTATGGAGCGCATTCGATGTAAAATTCATAGTGAGTCCTGAAGTCCTTTGCTATTGAATGTGCTTATTTGGCAAACCGTCTACTTCACGTAAATGAAGGCGCACGACCTGTGGACAGTAAAAAAGGTCATGACGTCATGAGAATGCACGCGATGGCAAAGATTGTCTTTAGTATATTCTACCAAAATATAATAAAGATATCCTTGGAGATTAGATACAGAGGATATTACATGGCCGCTTGTAGATACGGATTTTATCGTATCTCCAAGCGGCCATGTAATATTCTGTTTGTCATATAATTATACTGGAAAGCAAATTGTGCCGTTAAATACTTTGTTTTACTTCCAATATATAGAGAAACCTCGAATGAGTTATTTTCACTAGTTAAGATAACAACTTTTCGAAAGAAGGAAATAGAAGTATTTCATATTGTATGATTTTTAGAGACATTGTATCATTTATTTCTAGATGTATATATTATAGAACAGTATTAAAGGAAAAATAAATGACTCCCGGCTTTCATGAGTAAATATTGCCATCGATAATTAATCAAGCCATGGTAACTTTCAATCCTTCATCTTTAATTTCCCGATCAACATCAACATCCCGATCAAAAAAAAAAAAAAAAAAAAAAACTAAACTAAACTAAAATCTTCTCTGTATTTCTCTTTACTCTGTAAAAAAATAAACCAGGTTTCTACATAGGAAACGAAATAGTAAAGAATCGAGTCACTGATACGCGCCCGCGTGTGTTTTTGGCGTCGTGTTATCGGAGGTTGTATTCCCCCTCTTATTAACCTCTTATGTTCCTCCTTTCGGTCGAGTGTCTATGACATTTACGTGATTCTAAACACGATCAACTAATTAGAGCTGGAAAAATAACGTGGGATGGTAGCTTAGCAGACTAATAGGCAACTGACATCTTGACTGACTAAGTAGATGTTTTTACCAAGCTCGCATCACGCAAAAGAAATTGAAACTATAGGGCGCCAACACATCAATCTTAAGCACGTTTTCTTTGTTCTCAGTGTCTATAAGCAGTGATTTTGTTTGAGATCAGTTCTAAAAGATTAAATACTGATGCCTAGTTATTTTCTTCTATTACTGATCCATTTTTGACCAAATATGGTAGCCCTTTTGCTCACGAATTTCAAACCACAGATTTTGAAACACAACTACTTGAGAGAGAAATTTAGGTCAATAAAAGTTCAATAAAGCTAATAATCGAATGTTTACAAAAAAATTCTCAGTTAAGGACCATTGCATCTCAAAGATCATTTGCTGATAGGTAATCCTTGAGTGATGATAAACCAGTGAAAGTTTACAAATCGTGCTTTTCCCCGGCGGCCTGGCAAAGCTACAGTGACTTTTGTTGGTAGCGAATTTATTCTCTCCGACGGAGAAGAAAAGGTTGTCGTAAAACTGTTTGGAGGTTAAAGGCAGAGAAACACGATGATCACAACAACAAACAACAAAATCAAAAACTCTCAACGCGTAACATTATTTCTGTTTGTAGTTTAGCATCAGCGTTTTTCGATTTTTAATGGGCTGATTTTGTGTGCTCAAACAAGGTAAAAACGAGACACAGTCAACTCTCGCCTTATGGACACCCCGCTACAACAGACACCTCGATATTGAGGACGGTAAAATACTGAATCCCAGGCGAAAAATACAAAGAAATGACTGAAAGTAATTCTCGTTACTAAGGTTTCTCGCTACTGCGGACAATGAATTACGGTCCCGAGGGTGCCCGTAATAGCGAGAGTTGACTGTACATCGACTCCAAACTTGAACAGCAACAATCTTGTGCGACGAGTTGATTGATTTTATCTCTTATTATTTCCATCTCGGCCTTAAGCCAACTGACATTGTAGAAAAGCGATTCTTATGATGACTTAAATTGTTACGTGTGAATACTACAAGCACGTACAAAGAGCTAGAATAACAGAAACGCGGATAACTTTCTCAAGAGTTCTGTCTGTCTAATACATAGTAAGCAAGGTATTATTCATTCTAAAAAACTACGAAGTGAAGTGTGCGTGCATTTGCTATCGTAAATAAAGCATTCTTTTTGACAAGAGAATGGTAATTAATTTGCAATTTTGATAATTGCATTAAACTTGTTATCATGCTTTCAAAAAACGTCTATATTTGTTGATAACAAACACTTACTAACTAATTATACCAGTGTCATATCAGTAAACATAATGCCGATAATTTTTATCAAGTACGTACCTTTAGGAACCCTTTAACCCACTCGACTCTCTTGACCCAGTAGACTCTCTGAATTTGTCTGAAAAACAAACGCAAAACTATTGCTGACTTTTTGCACGAAGGCAATAAAGTACTTTAGCTAAAATGAAAACATTGATTTCATGTATGCCGTGGGAGCTTAAAATATCTTATCGTACGTCGATCAAAGCTGACTCGGTTAGTGTCATCGATTTATCGAGCACGATAGGCCTTCGACGTGAAGATGAGAATAGTAATAAACGAGGCAATGATCATCCAGACGATAAAACTCACGTTCTATCTAGAACTGATATCTTTTGTTTAAAGTTGTAAGCTTTTAAAAATCTCTTGTTTTACGTAACTATCATTAATAATTTTTTTATAATCAAATAAGTGCTGTTTTGATTATATAACTTTTGCCTAAACGAGTAAAATAATTACATTAATTTGCCTTAATCTAAATTATATCAATTGGCAAACTAAGTACTGTAAATGCACACATAACAATTAACACTAACGATAACTAAATGATACTTAATTAATATAAATATTTTTAATAAAGTAAGTTGTTTTTATTAACCCATGAGACGAAGTGTAAAAGTAATACAATAAAAAAGGAGAAAAACGGCCGGTGTGCATAACAAAGAATGGAAAACTATATTACACAATACTTATTTCATAGATTAATGAAAAACCCACTACTTCGAAATAGATATTGCACTGAATTAAGAAACGTCTTCGTAGTCCTTATAAAAACAGCGTATTTCCATTGTCTTAATTTGTGTTTTTCTTATAATTGATGTCTCAAACTTAATTAAGGCAAGTTAGATTTTTACACTAAGGAATCACAAATAGGCATTAATTTTAATGCATGTTTTCTAATATTCTATCTTTACTTATTCAACTGTTAGTATTCGTAAAAACAATAAAAAAATATTCTTTTTAATTATGTAAGACATAAACAACAAACAAACAAACAAAAAACAGTCACATTAACGGCTTTTTCTTTGGAAAATGAGGTGCGTTTTGTTCTAGAAATTTCCACGCTCGTAATAATTACTGAAATCTAATCGAGTCTATCAAGTGTCCATCCGGTGTGTTTCTAGCCTGGTGCACTTTTTTTATGTTTTCTAAAAAAGCAAAAAATAAATGGTTTGGTATCAATTTTAGCTGCGAAATAAGAGACGCAAATTTTAGGTTTAAAATGACATTAAAGCTATCACGTCCTGCGCCCTTGCTGTTCTTAGTACTCTCACATCACTACAATATTTCAATCCTAAAATGGCGTCGCTGTTTCTTAAATCTTAAATCCAACAGAAAACAAAAGAAGCTATTTTAAACTATTTAACAAAGACCTTTGGATGATAAGTGCGTCTGTTGCTCTATTGTAGGTGTGAATTAGTGTAAAATTAATTTAAATTTTCAAATGCATTTTATCAATTTAAAGTTTTGTTTCTACTGCTGAAAGTTTCGGAGTCAGAAGCTCCACTCGATAGGAAATAGGAAAATGTTTAATTAATCGGAAGCAGATTCACAATCAGAGTCGTAAGAATCAGAAAGTGGCTATTTTCAGGCCTAGATTTGGACCTGAAATAGCCTAAAATTGCCCAAAATCGCAGTAAATCGCCTTAGATTTAGATGGGTTTTTGGTGATTTTTGCTTAAACCGCCTACAATCGCACAAAATTATTACGGCGATTGTAGGTCCCGACTAGGCCTATTTTCTTCCAACTCTGAATCTGACGTAAACTTAAACTGAAAAGAATTATTTTCTAACTACGAGCATGAAGATTCGATTGTCTAACACTATATTTCCCTAAACTTTAGCCTGCTAAACAGGCGTTCCTCCTTCTCGTTCTCCCAGTAGGACCTCTAACCATCAAGCCACGAGATCAGTTCAGTGAATCTGAATTTTTGTGATGTTTATAGAACTGCATTCATGAATAAACGCGGGCATGAAAATATAATGAATCTTGTGTAAGAACACGAGAGACTTCTATACTGAACTATAAGCACATCCGAGAGCAATCAGGCATATGGACTCTTGTATGGAAGTCGTACGACAGACTCAAAAATACACACTAACTTAACAAAAAACAAAGACTTAGCTGATGTTTCTTTAAAAACGTGTGATTGCTGCACAAGCGCATTACAAGTGGTGACTGACTTTTGCGGGTTTTATAATCGAAAGTTGATGGGATTTGGTTAAAGCTTTTAGAAATGTGTTTACTATAAAAGACTTAGTGTTCGAGTCTATTTATTTTATCTATTAAAGTGAAATAGCTATACAAACATTAAAATATCAAAAGAAATTCGTT